TCCGGGCATGCGTCGCAAAGATGTCTGCACATTAACCAAAACCTCCTGGATGCCCCGAGATCTTTCAATGGAGGGCTGTTTTAGGCAAGATAGTTAGTCTTGCTTCCAATGACTTCTCCCACCAAGTGGCCGTCTTGTCACTTACGTGATTCTTTGACATCTGTTTGATCCTCTCCGATCGCTGATCCCCAGCCAAGGGAGCAGAGAAGTCGACAGAAAGCATCGGGCCTAGATTGGATCGCTCAGAATCGTAGTCGGTTTTTGTCGAACGAGTTCCAAGAGTCCCGCCACCGGACTGATCCGTGGAACTCCTTGGGGAGTAGACCTGCTTGTCGTTCATGGTAGGTCAAAGAACACACCTCTCGAGAGATTAAAGTTTTTTTTTGTTTTGCCTGTTGGTACAGACAAGAGTTAAATCTGTAGACTTGCTACCGATCGAGTTCGCCGATCTCCTGAGATTTAGACCCTTTGGTATCTGCACATGGTGATTAGTTGGTGAATCAGGGCAAACAGAAAATGACTTCGAGTAAGCATGATTGTGCTACGACCATGAAAATGAAACAAAAAAAAACAAGCGGTGGGTTAGATTGCAGATATTGAAAGAATATACTGTTGTCCCAACGACAATAAGAAGACTCCGCGGAAGGGGAAGTGAATGGTAGAAACAGTAGCAGGGTAGAAAACTCACTTACTTCGAAAAGCTGAATAAATGATCCGTGTTCGGTATTGTCTATCACGCGAGTTCCCAGGATAATAGAAATGACTAAATGCCCAGGATGAAGCGATGCGTGCCTACACAGCGCGAGCAGACTCGACTCGAAGATCAGAATGAGAAGACAGTCTGGTCCTTCGCAACCGGCATACAAAAACCTATGTCTTGAAATATGATGAAGATTATATTCCGAGATGGAATAAGGAGGAAGAAGTTTTGGTGGAAGAACAAGGGAGTGAAAAAGAAGTAGGGAGAAGAATGTGGGTGGGAAAGCGAGGTCAAGGTGAGAAGAGAAGTGAGAGAATGAATAGGGCACGGCCTAATAAACCCTTCTCCGAAAAGTGAGAGGGTGGTGAGAAGTGACCTGAGATTTCCTGCTGGCCTGGAGGCAAAATATAGACGCGACACTTGTTGACAGTTGGCAAAGGATGATGGGTACTTGGCTGCAAACTTGCAATACTCCCCTAATGCGAGGCAAGCGAGAGCAAGGTAAAGCCTAGGATAGGACTGAAGGAAGAGGCAAGGAGGGGAGAGAAGATTTCAGAAGAAAAAGTAGGGATGTCCGTTCACCACCCACGGGGCCGTGTCGAACTGTTGCGCGAACTCGAGTTGCACAAAACGCGGCCCTCTGCCGTGTGCAGCAACCACTGCCTGGCTGGGCGGCCTGCCAGGCACCAATTTCGCCTTGAGGAAAAAGTGAGACGGCCGACTGCTTATTGCCGTTGGGGTACCGAATTGCCTACCAATGAACAACATCTGTGGCAAGGCAGACGGGTCGGCTTGGATTTCTCACCATGAGACCACCGCAGAGCCGAGTGCAATTTTCTACCTGGTTACTTGCCCCAGCGGAAGCCTGCATCGACGCCCGGCTACCTGCATAACAGCCGGACAACAGTAAATCTCTAGAACAATCGAGAATGTAACACCTGGCCCGGCGCCAAGCGGGCGGACCAGATAGAGCCATGCCCGGGGTACCGAAGTCACAATGTGAATCGAAAATCAACAGTGGGATTGAGGGCAAAGTTCACTGTGCGTCCACCAAGCAGATAGGAAGAGAGCGGTTCAAACTTCAAGGTTACATTTTTCATCTTTTAGCTATGGGACAGGTCCCAGAAAAGTACCTTACGCCAAGCGATTAAACTGCAAATACTACCCCAACACCGGGAACTATGAAAACGAAAAGGACAGAAAAGGAAGGGGGAAAAAAGAAGACGGTCCTCGATCAAGTTAGAGATTCCTAAGCATACAAGAATCAGTAGTAGACAGGTGCAACGGGTCAAACCGTAAAACTGTTTGCGTTTGAGTTCTAATTACGGTTCCCAGGGTAGTCGTTGTCTCAGATTCGATAGTCGAGGCAAGGCGCGCAGGTTCAATCGGTTGCACTGACCGCCGTTCGGCAAGACAGGTGCCTAGTCCGGTCTAAAGCGTCAATTCGTAGGTGATAACGACGGTTATTTAGCTGCGATAGCCGAATGTGGAGTGTCGTCCCGAGAAGCCATAACGCGATGGTATTCTGCGGTATGTAGTCTTAGCGAGAGGGGCTCAAATACTGAGGACATGCCGAGGACTCTTGCTAACCTGCACGAGTCCTAGAAAGCCGCAAGTTGATAGGCAGACATAATTAGCCTCAGAATGCCCGGGAGCGGGAGAACAAACTGCTGTAGACGGCATCTACAACAGGTGACGCGTCGATCCTTCGCCCACCAAAATATCTGCCGTTGAGACCCTTGATGGCATTTTCACCGCCCTGAACTTTGTCGAACTTCAGGTAGATGTCGCCCTTCGAGTTCGGGTCGACTGATATATGGACAACATGTCCATAGCTGTTTTCTGCTTCCTGTCGCACATCATCTTCTAGCTCTTTCACCCAGTCTTCACCTGTCTCCCTGCACCATGCATTAGTATCGTAGTTCTTAGCTGAAGGGCTTGGTTGATGGACAGAAACACACTCTTCCGGGTCAAACACATTATGTAGAACCACGCATCGGCTGGCTTTGTTTACGTTAACGGGCAATGGCTTCACCTCTGCCTTCGGTTTCAGCGTATGACGCTCTTCGTTGCCATTGGTGGCACTTTCGTCGGTTCTGGCAAGTTTTCTCATTAATGCATCGCGACTGTAGTTGCTAAAGTTAACTCCAGCGACATCGGTGTCGTCGAGGGCGCTAGCACCGCCTGCCTTCTCAGTGTCGCGGCCTCCAGCACGGTCGAATCCATTGTTCTGGGCGCCTCGACCTCCAGCACCGGAAAAGGCCGAGCCTTGGAAGTTGCCATTGTTCTCGCGGCCTGAGAATTTCTGTAACAAGTTCGCTGTACTTTCAGGGGTAAACTTATCGTTCCCAAGGCCAACACGAATAGGACGACCTGCTAGATCAAAGCCATTCATTTTCTCCAGGGCTTCTCGGGCCTGGCCAGCATCGCGAAACCTAAGCAGTATATTAGCAGACGACTCAGAGCTTAATAGAGATAGGGGGTGACGTACTGGACGAAACCATAGCCACGGCTACGGTTATTTTCATCCTTCTGGAGCTGCGCGAATTCAAGCTCTCCGAAGGGTTCGAATACAGCCTGTAGGTCCTGCTCGGTAACGTTGAAGTGAATATTGCCCACATAAAGCCGGTGGAATGGGATCGAGTTGGGGTGTCCGCCTCCAGATTCCGAGTTTCGGGCTTGACGATTCTTCTCAGCCTCGGTAACCTGGACGATGATGGGAATACCTAAGAGCTTTTGGCCCGTGAGCTGCAGTGCCTGGGCAACGGACTCTTCATTTTTAAATTCAACGTAGCCGACTCTATAAAGCATGTTAGCAAATGGATTTTGGAGTAGAACTATGAATTCAACGTACCCCTTGGAGCGAAGGCTCACTCGGTCTTTAACAATCTGCGCTTCGTTGACCGGGCCAACTTTCTCGAAAAATTCTTTTAGCTCACGAGTACGCAGGCGGGCTGCAAGCTGCTGAACAAACACAGTGCGGGAGTCTTGCTCGTCCTTGGAAGGTTGCGGGGTTCCATCACGCTGGCGGTCCTCCGTCTTGGTGCGGTCATCAAGTCTGTCACGGTCGTTGCGATCGCGACGTTCTCGGCGATCGCGGTTATCACGAGGGCGGTAGCGACCGTAGGGTGAACGGGATCGGGAACGAGAGCGGCCTCGGCCGCCTCGGTAGTAGTCACCGTCTCTGTGGCGGCGTGAGTGACGTCGATCATCATCTCGACTTCTGCTTCTCCGCCTACTCTTGTGGCTACCGGTGTCGCTTCGGGGAGTGCCCTCGTCAGGCGAATCTCGTCTGCTTCGGGTTGGGCTCAGGTCCCGCCGGTCCCGACGACGTCTGTCATGATCTCTGTCTCTGAAACGCGTGCGGCTATCATCACGATTCCGACCTCGATCTCGATCCTGGTCTCGACCATTCCGATTCGATGACTCCTGCTTCGCCTGGTCGTCAGATTGAGTGGTTGGGCTCTTTTGCTCAGCAGTAGCATCAAGCAGTGCTTCTACATCCAAGCTAGCCATGATGTCCTAATGACGGTGTCAACTTGTGGGTGAACAAAGCCAGTTACAAAGGTAAAGAATGGAGTCTCCCTTGAAACCCTTGTTAATTGCGTGATGACGATGTGGTGTAGCAAAAATAGCAGGTGATGTGTGAGAGAGAAGCCAGGTGGGCACGGGAAGTGTTGTGGGGAATTTCAATGTTTTCGCTTGCGGCTCCAGGCAGCACGCTCACGTGACTCCACCGACATGGAAGACATGCTGCACCGAGTCATGGTCGTGGTAAGTGCGATTCATATTCGACAATTAGAACATATTCATCAATGGTAATTCTCAGGTTATTGATTCACGAGCAGGGACAGGCACACGTCAATGGGGTCTTCTTTGCCGACCTTTCAAATGAATAGGGGAAAATAGAAGTGATTGGGTTGCGAGACCCATTAACCAACGTACTTGTCCCTGTCTCGATTGAAACTACCTATTAAATCGTAATTAGGAGAGCACTCCTGCCCTTTCGTTGCATTACAATATTACATCCGCCGATTTTCAAAGCCTCCTCTCGCCTCCTATACTCATGTCCACCTTTTCTATTTTATAAAACTGGCAACGGCCTTCATAGTAAACCAAACTCAGAACTCCCCAAGGCAAGGCTCTGAGATCATCTATAAACTCCAACTCCTAACAGTGACTCCAGCTCATCATGCGTACCTTGAGAGGTATTATAAGTTGTAAAATTTCAAAATACACCGATGTGAATGTCATGGCCGTTCGTCTTGCAGGTACTCAAGGCTGTGGATGATGGTTTTTCTTATTTGGTCTTAGGCTCAGCGCTCAATGTGGTGCCAAAGATATCATCCCAGAACCTGCTAGTGACGCCGAAGCCAAGATCGTATTCGAAGTAGTGGTGCTGAAGATGGTACTTCTTGAGCTCCTTATACCAGAGAGGTAGGTTCTGGTGATGAAGAAAGTAGTGCGTCATGTCGTAGCAAATATAACCGAAGACACCGCCGCAGTATACTGCGGTGCCCACATACCAGTTGAAAAAGAAGAGGGTATGGGCCAATTTCCAGAATGGTATCGCAAGCACTACAAACAAGGTCGGGGGCATGACCAGCCGATACTTGTCCATGGGGAGATAGTGGTGAACGCCATGGAGAAGAAAGTGCAAGGTTAGCGCAGCTCGATTATCTGGCAGGTAGCTTTGGAATCTGATTAGCCTTGCTCGAAGAAAGTTAAAAATAAAAGGGGGGGGAACCTACTAGTCAAGGTGGAAGAGGAATCGGTGCATGAGGTATTCGATCAAAGTCCAAAGGAAAACGCCAGAAGCCCAACAAACGGCCAACGTGAGAGGTTCCAGTCCGTGACTGGCAATGAAGGTACCATAGGCAACGTTTGGTAGCCAAAGGATAGGGATAACCCACCAGGGTGTCAAGGACAGAGGCTCAAGAAAATTGCCAAATAGAGGGGCAGACTTTCCGCCCTTATAGTGGCGTGGACGATGAACCTGATCTAGGTAGAATTCCTTACTGAAGCCACCGAACCACATCTGAGGCAACAGTGGTCGGTTCAAATCAAGAAACTTGTGCTTTTTATAGTCATCACCAAAGTTGGTGTCCTTGCTCAAATCCTCCGCGCAGGACATGCCGGTTCGAGGGTGAACGTAGACGGTCTCACTGGCCGCCTTGCCATTTGTGCCAGCATGGCCGTTCGTAGCGGATCCATTGGTCTTCTCGGATATGACAAAACCCACAAGGACTTCGTCTAGAACGTCATACGCGGCTTCGGAATGGGTGTGAGAGGTGGGATCCTTGAGGATCTCTTCAACATCTTTGCCGGCATACTCGTGGACAAGCTCGGCACCACCAGGGTGATCGTCGGCAAACTCGGTCAAATCGTAGACCTTAGATCCGATGGTCACGTAGCAAGATTTAGCTGAGTTGTGCGATTCAACCTCAGCACGAGTGAAGGTTGGGAGTGTTCGACCAGGCATGGTTGGGTTGCGGTCTGGGGGCTCGAATTAAGGTGTCCGGATCGCGCGGGTAGGGTCAGGATTCGAGATCAAAGGGAGGCAACAGCGCGGCCAGGCCGATACACTTGATAGGATCTCGCTGGGCAAAATAGGTGAATGCTGGCCTGTAATCGAGTTGTTATAATACAGAGAAGCGGGAAGGAACGAGAATCAAATAATAAAAAGCGTCCGACAGATTGCCCCAATTAAGAACCTACGGTGAAATGAATGTCGATTGATAATAGGAGGCAGAAAATAAATTAAATGGGCTCCAGATTGTCGAGGCAGGGTTCGCCACAGATCTGCACCTTACTGGCTGAATCAGTAGCCAGGGGGAACCTCCAACGGCGATGCGCCCCACCACGGCGGCCTGGATCTCCGGATGACACCACTATAATTGCTTCCTGGGAAGCTGGACGTGGCCTGAGAATGGGATTATTTTCCGTCACGATCCGATCCGATCAGATATCTCATGCAGCCTGGAGCAAGATTGATAAGATATCCCATTCAGCGTGTCTGGAGTAAAGATTTCCTGGTTGTAATTTACGTGCCGCGGTCTAGGCATCAATGCCACCAGCTCATGCTTCCGAGCTAGGTCCCTTAATTTCGGTGCCTAACCTTATAAAATGCCAACTGACTGAGTTGGGTTGGATAATACCTACGCAACACCCAAGGGAAAACCTCCCGAGGTGCTAGGCTGCCACTTGGAGGATTGCCATTGCATCCTCGAATACATCTCCCAATAATATAATTATTGTTCTTTCGACATCGATAGTTGTTGATCGACCAAAATCTGCACTGCGAGAACGCATCATTTCCTTTGACAATTGACCAAACCTTCCAGCCAATCACGTGTCTGAGTTCGTGCGGCTGCCTCGGAACTCAAACTCAGGCGTGTCGAAGAAACCGACATTAGCGCCAGGATGCGAGATTGGGACGAGGATCAACCACACAGAGTGATAGAAGCTGAGGAGGTAGCCTCAATGTAAGCAATTTTAATCACTCGAATCTTACGCCTCCATATGGCCAATCATGCAAGCAGCCGCCAACTGGATGGCATTGAATTTGAGAAACTCAAACATTAAGTGGCTTGTTTCAAGTCTGCGACCGGTGTTGTCGGATTATTAAGTACATGCATAGAAACAATACAGCATAGTATATTGTTACTTTGATTCATTTTTTACTGCTGAACTTTCTATTCCATTTGATGTCTCATTTCTCCCATTTGGCCGCATATCAACTGTGGCTCGGGGTGGCTTGTCAGCTTGTCTAGGGCTGGCTGTGGCGCAGGGCTGGGCGCAGGGCCACTGTAACCCCGCCGGATGTCGCCACATTCGGCAGCAACACGCCTGACGTAGTCGCATCAGCGGTTATGCGCTGCTGGAAATCAGGATCTAATGTATTAGGTGGAATTGGGACGGTCATCAGCTAACCCTCGTGGTTTTCCCGCGCCACACTATAATCAGCCAATGCAAGTCTGTCTGTCTTTATCTCACCTCTCTTACTCTTTCTCTCACCTTATCTCCTAAACATCACAACTAGAGCGGCTTGCCCTCCAACATCTCTCTCTACTGTACCCAATTCTGATTGTCATTGATTTGCGTCATGGGCTCGTTCGGTTGGTCGCGGGGTAGCAGCATGCTCCTGGCCCTGGCGATTTGCTTGATCGTGCTTCCAGGCCGAGCTGCTGCCTTTGGAGCTGGAAACATTCCGTCAATTGCACAAGTACGAAACTCTTTTACCTCTCTGGCGATTTCCCCATTGCTACTCGTTGGCAGCTGACATTCCCCTCCTTGCGACTAGGTTGAGGGTCACAATTGGCGTCATGGAGGTAAGCGCTCGCCATTGTCTGTTATTTGCTCGGCAGCAAGATTTCCATCTCAGCTGCTTTTCCGGTCCCCGTGTTATTGAAAATCACTCCTTGTGATACTTCGATAGTGGAAGTAAAATATATGTCAAATTGGGTGCTGATATCGCGACATCTTATGCAGATATTGAAGACATGCTGGCCACCATCGCTTTCTTGCATGGCAAAAAGTGGTCTTCCATGAACATCAAGCGTGTCTACTTTGGTAACTTCCTTCGCGACTACTCCCAGGCCTTGGACCTCGGTACTCTGAAATCCGTCAATGCGGAAACGATTCGTATTCTGGTCTGGGTTCTTTCATTCATGGCATTCGGCTACGCCACAGAGGAGTTTGAGGTCACAAGTGAGAGACTTGGAGTATACCGTGCTGAAGAGCACATTGACAATCCTCTTGGATATGGAGAGGGAGTGGACGCCCGAACATTCGACCCCCGCCTTCGTGGGCCTGTGATCAAGGCTGAGACTGAAATTGACATGCGTACCGGAATGAAGAACTACATTGCCAACGAGACTGGACAATGGCCCACCAGCTCTGGTTATATTCGGTACAGTTTTGCCCGAAGTATTCACTACGGGCGTCTCTATACTAGCGGTTCGCAAAGACATGGTAACGAGGACGACCTGTGTGAAGCCCTGCGATGTCTCGGACAGGCACTGCATTGTCTGGAAGATTTCGGTGCCCACAGCAATTACTGCGAGCTCGCATTGCGAGAGATGGGATATCGCAATGTTTTCCCCCATTGTGGAACTGCTGCTGAGATAAACGTCCGTGGCAAGAGAGTTTATCCTCTTGTCACTGGCACCGTGAGTTCATACATATAACTCGCTCATCCTAAAATACCATATACTCACCTTTACTAGTTTGGAGCTGTGGACTTCCTTCACAGTGTGATCGGCGAAGCAACCGATCATTTTACCCAATCTGAGGTCGAAGAGGTCGATATTGCTCTCAAGAATGCTGAGAACAATACTAGCGGCAAGCGAGGAGGGGATAACTCACGAGGTCTGTTTGGGCTTGGGGGCTCAGGAGGTGGTGATTTCATCTCTCTGGTTGGCAAGCTTCCTGGTGTCGGTGATGGTTTCGCCGCTCAGGCGAGAGATCTCAAAGCTCAATCAGAGGCCCAGGAGCGTGAGAACCGGACTCGTGCTGATGCCCCTGCGGCCCATCATACCAACCCAAACCAGATTCCGGGAATGAGTCCCGACTTCGATCCCGTCAAGACTGCCGGAAGAATCTACCCCATTTTGCAATTCCGCGACAAGATTGTGAAGGCCATCAGCCGAGGTATCGCCAAAGTTCCAGGCCTCGAGAGTCTTCTTGAACACATCAGCGAAACCCTAACAGCATTCATCATGGGTCTCCTTGCTCCTTTTATCCGCCCCATCATCAAGGCCGTCTCCAAAGCGCTGAAGGATGGCTCATCCGGGGTCATCAGCGCCAGTGCCAGGTCTCAGCTCGAGCCTTGGGAAAACCCTCATTGCTCTGATCCCACACACAGTATGCTGGCCAAAGACCACTTCACAAACATTCTGAACTCATGTGGCGGCCGGGTCGCTGTCACCATTCTTCAATACGCCGTTCCGTAAGAATTCCATCTTGCCATAAAATTCATTATCCGGAACAGTGTTTACTGACTCTCAAATTCACAGCCGTATCCTCTACGCATGGGAGAATCCGGGAGTGCCTGTCGACGAAGTTGCCAATGATATCCTGCGAGCTTTCCACCATCCTGGACTTCGCGACGACAATATACAGCTCCACCGAGACATGTTCGCGACAGTCAAGAAGTGGGCAGACGAACACCCAAAGCGCCACCAGCTCGAGTCCATCCTCTCCTCCGAGTCTGTCAAAAAAGGTAAGAACCACGTTCTGGAGCAAAGCCAGCAGGGTTCCAGGACCGGCGGCCATTCCCACTCCCACGGCGCTTTCGAAGGGCTCGGCGGCCATGGCAAGGTTGCCGGCTCCCTCTGGAGCCAGGTCCGCACCCGCGATCTGGATGCGATGGAGGGCAGGGACGGCGACCCGACCCATAACTACCAGTCCCACGCCTCAGCACCGCCAGGTCCGGCTTTCAACTACGGGCAGAACGCCCAGTATCAGTCCGGTGGCTACAACGCTCCCCCTCCGCAATCTGGAATGTACAACTCTGGATACGGCCATGCGCCACCTACCGGTCCTCCCCCGCCTCAGGGTCACGGCTCTGCTCAGGACTACTATGCTGCAGCAAGCGGCCAGTCACAATCCGGTTCCAACTGGGGCCAGTATCCTGGGCAATACCAGCGCCATTGAGCTGCCAACTTGCCGTAGTTCGCTTTAGAGTGGTGGGTGTTTACGATGCAAATCACGATTGCCAATGTCTATTAGGAGGAATGGTTTCGAGAGAAGAGGGGGATCCACGCTTTATGTTATTGTCTTCATGCCAGTCAGCTGCACATACAACAAAATACAAATAAAGATAAGATATACATGAGAATTGACGATCCACGAGTGAATTTGTTACCCGTGACCGCCCAAAACCACAACAGGGCTACTTACCCCGGGTTATGAGAGAAGGAAGAAAACGCAAAACTCCAAATGCCATGCTATATAACCAAAAATACACACAGAAATGCAGGCGCAAGGGAGTCTCAGGGGCGACGCTCAAACTGTCCCATCTAGCCTTGCTGGCCTGATATGACGGTAGCTGAGAAAGGCTGTTCTCTTCTATTATGCAATTCCGCTCGTTAAAAAAAAAAACAGAACAAAAAAAAAGGAACAAAAGGGAGGGGTTTATCATCGCCGTCCTCGTCTCGGATCGCCCGCCTCGGCCCGCCTGATGTCGCGAATCTCCTTTGTTCCCAAGCTTCCCACTCCACCTTCTGAGCGTCGCTCCCAGCCACCAAGGCGAACAACCTGGCACGTAGCATTGTCGCCGTCATGAGACACCTCAGTGGCATAGTCGACAACACTTTGAGCTCCTTGCTCCGGCGTTCTGGCCTCCTTGATGACGTCTACGATTTCCTGGTCGCTCAGGGTGCCAGAGACACCGTCGCTGACAAGTACCAGGAACGAGTACTGTGCCGGTGCCATCTCGGCGCGAGTGATTTCGGGCTCGGCGGAGACGCCAATGCGCTTACTCTTCATATCGCCAAAGGCACGACTGTTGGCGAGCCCGGCAATACGCTCCTCCCCGAAACTATCGTTGGATACCATGGAGGAGTATCGGCGGAGCCGGCGGTTTTCCAAGGGTGTGCCAGGGTGGTGGTCTGATGTTAATGGATGAGGAAGGCCAGTGGAGGTGTCGCAGAGAAGCACCCTCGTGTCACCAACATGCGCCACCATGAGCGTCGAGTGGGCACCGGGATGCCAGAATGGAGCTGCTGTGGAAGTTGAGATGAGGGCTATCGATGCCGTCGAGCCACCCTTGAAACGCGTGTTTCCGCCAATTCCATGGCCCGATGGGGTGGCATGAGGAGATCCAAGTATCTCGTCATCGTTCAAGGGGACATCGCTCACTCGGAGATCGTCGGGATCTGGCTTCTGTGCCTGTGCTGCCACGAAGTCAAGGTCGGCTCTGAGAAACGCATACGAGAGGACGGTCTCGATGGGCACAGCGGCAGTCTCGTCAGCGTCAGCAGCTAGATTGAAATAGTCAGGGCTAAACCGTCGGAAATATCCGCCAATCGTACGCTTATATTCTGCCACCAAATCTCGTTGTAATTTGAGTGCCTTTACCGAATCCCGGACATCAAGTGGAGGAGATGATGCACCCTCCATGGATTTTCCGTGGCGTGGAAAATGTGTGTGGCCCTCCTGGTCGCGACCGGGGATCTTCATCTGTCGTCTGGCATCCTCGGGACTCTTCATTTCCACAGCGTTCAATGCTTCCTTTGTAGTGAGAGATTTGCCCTCGGTAGGAATAGAGCGATTTTCTCGTCCAGGTTTCCTTTTCCTGAGACTACTCTGGAGGCCGAACTCAACTGAGGCCTGCTCGATGTACCCATGCAATTCATCCCGCAAGAAGTGGGAGCATTGGGTGCCGCCGTGCCCGTCGAACACGGCAAAGTAGAAAACCTGAGGATCACCAAGAATGCTGTCGGCGGGTTTTGCCTCCCCCGGCTTCTGTCTGACACTTTGCGGCGCTCTCTTAGCAAATGCAGGGATATCAATGGTTCCAGCCTGGTCGGTGTCCTCGTTGTAGGGCCGACTACCCCGAGAGCTGGCTGTTCCGAGATGATGCTTTGCCCGACGCAATGGTATCCTAACTACCGTTGTATCTCGACTGGGCATATATGGCGGGGCAATGGCGGGCGACGAGCCAGGTTTCTGCGTATGAGGCATTGAGGCATCGCGGGGTAGTTTGTGACCAGGGCCTCCAATTCGCGAGGAGTCGGGATGAAGCGACGACGAAGGGAGATGGGTAACAAAATAAGTATGGAATCCACGGCGCGATTCCCCGGGATGTTTTAGTCCAATTGCTCCGTGAGGGTTCTTGGAGAGCTGGCATGGCTTTGACGGTTCGGAGGATTGTAAACCTCGGCAGGCTGTATGTCGTATCGATTCGCGATCCAGCGTTGAGTACTGTGCGCTTCCAATTCCAAGACTTGATATCAGCGCAGAGGCGCGAAAATGGGCTGGAAAGGTGTTCAGGGTTCGTGATCGGATAGAGGCTCGTGCGGTGGTGCTGGTGAAGGTGTCGTAGAGACGGCTCTCTACCCGGTGCGCTCGGTGCGCCAAAGAAGCCATTGGGACTTTGTTATCCCAGCGGCCCAAGATTTGAGCTCTCTAGCATCACCTTCAGCCAAATGATGTTGGCGACCGGCTTGTGGCTAAGGATTCCAGGCATGTAGCAGGAAAGGAGAAGAACGGGAGGCTTTGGCACTAGCGGACGGCCTGGAGGTTACACCACAGCCAAGCACCAGCCTATTTCCCCCAATCAATGAGATGCGATAATGTAGAGAGGCGCTGTCGGTTCTAGACAGTGGTCGGGTTCCCATCCGAGAGCGGTCCGCGGGGATTTTGTTGGCAGGAATTCGATGAGGAGGCAGTTGGGGATGATGGACAGAGTAGGAGCTGGCACTTAAAGCGAGGTCTACTATTTGGCCCTGGCCTAGGCTCTGTTGAGCTGCTCAGGGCTGGTAGGACAACTATTTCCGCGGTGGATCCACTGTGCAGGTGACGTACATTCAGTGAACTGAATGGGGTTACAGGGGCGGCACAGAACCCCTCCACCATCCAGCAGCATCCATATCCTTGGAGCCTGTAGCTTTAGGTAGGTATCTGCGGGCTCCGACAGCGGACCTCATAGAGTGAAATGCATCAATCCGGCTGTCACGGGCGGCACCGATACGTCTGGGTAGAGGACGGCAGACAGGTGCAAGTTGTTGCAAATCTTAAACCCCAAATAAAAATGCCTTACCTACCTCACTAGCTACGAGGTTTCAGAGTCTATGTCTGCCGAATATTGGGGAGCTGGAAGAAACACGGTAGAAGTGGATCAACGCACTATGCTGATAGGACTGATAACGTTAAGTCATGGATGTCCCTGGAGTGAGCACGGCAACCAAAAGTCTAACCAGCTCTTCCGACAACATATAGGCTTCCTGGCTCGCCTTGTATCGATATCCATGTCCGAGCTGATGACACTCTCAGTAGCATGGGCGCAGAAGCAGATGTGTCAGAAGGCCCTGCTGCCAAAGATGGGGATCCGAGACTCGTCGACGTCGCCCCACGAGGGGACATCGTTCTTGACGTGACCTTTGAAACATCCCCAGAAACACTCAAGAAGTGTCGCAAAGCAGCACAGGCAGCCGCCAAGAAGAGGGGCCCCAGCAGTCGTCCCGAGTCGCTGGTGGTGGCACAGCCCGCCTTCCATGCAAAAGTCAGGGTAGCATACCGAGCTAGCCTCGATGCCCTGATGAAGCACTCCAAATACTTTGCCAACCTGCTCTCCAACCCTCACTTTCAAGAGTCGAAGCTCATCACGGACGCGCATGCCCGCATTGCCTCCCAGGACCGTGAGCCCAAAGATGTTGAAGCGAGCGAGCTTCCCTGGATCCCAATCGCGGATGATGATGAGGCTACCAGGATGGCGGGGCGTGAGTCCATCTTCGAGGACTTGCTCCTTATCCTTCATGGCAAATCGCCAAAGGCCACTCACGCAACCATGGCCTACGTGACCACCCTGGCCATAACTGCAGACCGCTTCGACTGCGCCCCGGTGATTTCTCACGGGTTGAAGGACGAGCTGAAATTCAAGTGGCCCAACACCCGCACCAGGCCATATCGTGATGATGCTGGCCGGTTGACTGATGTTGAGCAGACACTCCGCCAGAAGATCCTCGCATCGTGGCTTCTAAACAGGCCAGTGTTGCAAGCCTCGACAAAGGAGCTTATTCTACGAGGGTCGAGGATCTGGTACACCTTCAATGACGGCGAGGCCGATGCGGACGCCGGAGCATCTTGGTGGAATTTGTCCGACGGCTTAGAATGTAAGAACAATGCTCATGTATTCTCTTGTTCCCGACTGACCAACATACCAAACCAAGACGAACTGCAATATCGCAGAGAATGTATCCTGAACACGATCGCCTCAGTGCAGCGACACTTTCTAGATCTATACTCCTCCCGTGAACGCCAGTGCAAGCTAGGATACGACTCCAGCGCGGCGTGCGACTCGTTCCAGCTCGGCCAGATGCTCAAGTTCCTCCTCTCAAAGAACCTTGCCTTCCTGGTTGATTTCAGCCCCTCTTCGCTCGATTCCCTCCCCGACGCCTCCATGCTGGACATCGAGGACCTCCTCTCCACCCTCAAGCAGTGCCCCAACTACCAGATCGACAAGCACCACACCAACTGCGGGCTGCGCATCCGGATCGAGCCCATCGTCGACTACATCCGCGCCATGCTGTCGTCCGACGCCGTATTCGTCTCCCCCTCGGACTGGTCGAGGAACAGGGCGGCCGTGTCCTGGGCATCATCCGCCAGGGAGGCCGACGGCGACGGCCGGGCGGAGGAGAGGCCCGGCCGCGCCTTCGCATTCACCAGGGCGCTGGCGAACGACCCGCGACTGCGGTACGAGAATACCATGTACGCCGGCTCCATGGCAAAGAAGCTTTTCCTAGCCGAGTCCTGGGATTGGACACCGGAGATTTAAGGGTACTTAAGTCTGAGTTTAGGAAAACATTATTAGAAACTTACAACTCAGCTATTTTTATAGTTTTAACATTACAAGAAGTTTATAGATGTATACAAGGGACAAGAATGGGATCATAAAGGAAGAAATAGCCGACATATTTGATAAATCCAAGTATCTGGAATTCATAGCTGGCTTAAGCACACCCATTGGACATTGGGCATAGAATAAAAAGACTATTATGATCAAATCCAAAACCCAAGAAACAGTATATATTTCAACCATTTACAAAACGAAAGACTTGCTGTAGAAGATGCAAGTTACGGGTTCACGCTAGACAGTGACCTACACTATCCTTTCACCCCAAAACCCAATCCAAAGTTTCCAATTTACACCTATTGCGCCAAACCCATGCTGAAAAGCGTAGCACATGGCCACTTTGAAAAATGCTATCAGTTCTGGCGCATAAACCAGGGCTGTTTTATTACAACAAACGATGACAAAAAAGACAATTGAAAAGAAAAAAGGAAAGAGTTTGGTTAGGGAAGTCGCAACATGGCAGCCTATACCAGCCGTACGTGGAGGAGTAGGCAACTGATAGAGCGGCAAGTACGCTTAATGTCGGAATTTCTCAGGTTCCGGAGCTTGGATTCGGCCGTATATCGTGCGTTGTTCTCGTTTGTCTTTGATCGGTGGGTTCCAACTTCAATTGAGACCGATCGAGGTAGGTGCTTCCGTGCAGAATTAGGCGTTCTTCTTCGCGGGAAGGCCCTTGGCCTTGCGATTCTTCACATCGACCTCGGCAAGCCACTTGCTTGCCTTGACAAGTTGAATAACGTTAAGGATCTGCTTAATGGCCATGATGGGGAAGCTGATGCCGGCCAGAGCCCAGGGGACAGACGAGTCCATCTTGTTTGCACGGGCAAGCTCGAGAGCTGCTGCGCTGAAAGGGTCGGGGAAGATCTGACGGAGAAGAGAGCTGTTGACAGGGGCTCCAGGCTCGATGCGACCGCCACTGTCCTCCACAGATTGGATCAAGTGGGGGGAGAGAAGGGGCGAAGAGAAGGAAAGCAGGTAGAGGGCGATGAAAAAGAGCTCGTTCAGGGCGCAAACGCTAAATAGAACGTTCTATCCAAGGAATCCCCCGTTAGACAAGGGCTAGCATACATTTTTGGAGGGTAACATACCTTATTGGTGTAGTACAAGTTGAGCAACCAGCTCTGAGACTTGTCGATGTTCTTGTGGCTCGAATCAATACCACCAACAACAAGAGTAGCGTACATATGCATGTAATGGCTGGCAAAGTCGAGGGCGATGAGGCCCTGGAAGACAATAGCCCATCGTGGGAACGCAGAGGAAAGGAAAACTAGGAGACAAGAGGTCGTGCAGCGATCGGTGACCATGTCGAGGACGGCGCCGAATCGAGTTGATTGGTTAAAGTGACGCGCAGCGTAACCATCTAGGGCATCGAGGAGGCAGGAAATGCTGTAAAGAACGGAGCATGTGCGCGGGTGCAGGGGCATGTAGTAGAGCGAAGCGAAGGCGAGGACGATGCGTGCGTAGCCTACGAGATAGCGACAAAGTTAGCAACCCAGCCAAGGCTCTTGTAAAATGGGCTCAATGATTGTCGTACCGATGATGTTGGGCCAGAAGAGGAAAATGTTCTCGTCATCAGCCGACTCCGAGGTTTCCGGCGCGACGGGATGAGCAGACCCGTTGCCGTTCATCTTCAACGAGGCCTGGACATCAATGTCATCAGGAGAAGATTGGGCAGCGGCTGCCTTAGCAGCGCTCTGCCTGGTCTGGCGCGTTGACATGTTGGGACGTTTGCAAATATAAAAAATAATGGTGTGGTAGTTAGGAGGAGAGTCGGTTCGAGGAATCTGTCAGACGAGCAAAATTGTCGATAGGTAGGTCAGCCAGCGTGGAGCTGGTCAGTGAACCTTCTGGCACCGGCGACGTGGCAGAAAAAAGGGCCCTTGAACCTTTGACGTCAGATGGCGGTAGGGCCGCAGGTGGTCGGAAGAAAGAGAACAGATGAAACGGATGAGAAGCAAGCTTGGATTGGGATTATAGGAGAGGGAATGAATGGAATGAGAAGACGAAGTTCTTGGCAGGGGGCAGAAGGTTTTCTCGAGGGACTGTCGCGGCCTGTGAGAGCGACCGCCAACTCATCGAACAATCTGTCGACGACGACGTAATTATCCTTTAGGTGGTACGCAAGTCTGGCAGGTAGGTTAGATAGTGGCAAGGTTACCAAATAGCGTGTGCCTCCGCCACTAAATCTGCCCCTTTGCAGGTCTGTAGCTGCGAACCCGCTCTATAATTTAAGCCTCCAGCCCGCGACAGGGGTCCCGGGTTTGTCGGTGCCTAGCGAGTGCAGAGATCGGCCGTTGCGATTGAAGGTATTTTGGCAAATGGTAATCTGCCTGAAACTTCCTCTCACGATTCTCCCCGTGGTAAAGCACTCTCAAAATACAAGACTCGGGTTCCGTTGCACACCGAATTTCCCGATCAGCCAACACGCCAGACCTGCAGTCAAATTGACCGCTGGAGCTGCCGAGCGGACAAGATCCGGCCAGCCCGCAGCAATCTGTTATCAATTTGCCAGTAGCACGCCAGCTGATGGAGATGGTTTATGGGGTGGAGTCTCCATTTGACGTCTTGGTGGACAGGGACAGCAGCAACGAGCACCAATCAAGGCGCCGTTCATTGGGCATTGACAGATCAGCTCGCAGCAAAAACGGACGATACACGAACCGTACTGCCAACAGTCACGCGACACGACCTCAGAGCAGCATGTTGCATTCAGAGAAAGGTCCATGCGTCAACGGCGTAGAGCAGGCCATTGACACCTACAGCAACCAAGAGCTGTCTCACGTCGATAATCTTCCCATGTCTTCCCGCCATTTCCACGTCAGTTTCTCTCTCTCGCTAGGTAGTCTGACTTCAAAGGTCAATATGAGTGACAGCAGGGTAAAGCTTGCCAGATAATGGCATTCTGGTCCATTTCTGTAACACTTACCCTCTAGCTGTGACCCAATGCCTCGAGCCTAGAGCGAGCTTCTGCCTCATGGCTAATCTAGCATAGCGTGGCAGTCCTTCCAAAAACATTGGTCAATACAACCCTCAACGGCCAGCACGGCAGGTTCAGATGAACTCCATGACCTTGGGCCTGAGCGACGCTTGGCTGGCATAGGGGTACAACGCTCATGTTTGTTTTCCACCCGGCTCAGCCGGTCGCCACTCGTGCAAGCTCATTTCCCTGCTTTGGCACACGCTCAGGCGCGCAAAGAGCGTGATAACACGCATGCACCCTGATCTTGTGGGCAGAGGACGACCACTCAAACAATTAGCCTCTCAAGATTCTCTGGAAAAGGGAAGGGTCGCTTCTGGAGCATTTAAGAAGTGGATCATCTCTCAACAAGTGGTTACCCCCATAGGGGCTGCTGTGAGATAGTCTGCAAGTTGATTTTCGGGTAAACTCTTTAGCCTCGCGAACGTACTAAATGATGAAGACCATCCGCCTGGCTCAAGGGAAGGCACTTGAACCTATTTACCACATCAAGGACCCGGGATGTGGGGTTATGCGGGAGGCGGGTTGAGAGAATGAGTTTGGTTGTGCTCATATAACAGCCCCTCTGCTGGTTGGCTATGAGCAAAGACGGTCTTCAAACCGCAACGAATATATACTCGACGTTGTAGTTGATTTCAACATGGCCGCGTCTGATTTCGTAGTCAGAATGTGCTGCACGATGCCCAACGCCCGCAGCGCGAGACCTCGCCATAAAACGCAACGCAGTTTACCTCGCAAATCGGGCCAGCGTGCTAAACATATTTTCTCCTTGATCCTTAGTAGAACAAGTTGATTAGTCTTCTGGTGGATTACGCACTTCCTCTCATGTTGCAGGCACGCAAGACGCCCGTGTTTCTCAGCCCTACCACAAACCTCCCAGAATGATAAGGAACTGACTTCGCTAATCGGCGTCAATATCCGTGTTGGGGATCTAATGGGGGGTATAAGTAAATCGTACGATTCCAAGTAATACAGCAGGGGGCAAGCAAGTAGTGTTCATTAGCCCTTGACCTAGGGACCAAAGCACACTATGATACCCTCCATCGCACGGTGTAAGCCTGCCGCCGGGACATTTAATCAAACCAGTCAATGAATAGGTGGGTTACTAGCAGCCATCGCCAGGGTCCGTCAGACAGGCCAACGTTAGCTCGCTCTCGGGTTGTTGGAGTCAACCGTTTCAACCACTCGTACAAATCTAAACCAATTAGGAAAACATGCCTCCAGCTAAAATGGCGGAGAAAAGGCAACAAGACAGGTCGCTTAGGCCGGCAATGCGACGTTGATCCCGAGGACGGGGACCAGGTACTCAAGCTTGGACCCCCGGCCTCAGCTTTCGTTCCCGGCGATTGAGTGAGTTCGGGTTCCACGCAAGTCAACCTTGATGTGTTGTAACCTTCTTAGTGTGGTGTGGGCTAATGCTCGACAGACGTGACCAGGGTGTCCTTGATGGAGCAGTTGACGGGTTTCTCCTAGTCTACTCTGGTACACTTGGCAAGTTTAGATCATCACCCCAATCGAAACCCCCCCGACAAAATGGCACAAATCTGAGGACTCGCCAGTCCACTTTCGTCCTGGATTGATAAGCGAAGAGAGGCTGGCATTCAACAAAGTGCCTTTCGTGTCAAAAGTTCGTGTTGACCGTCCGAGTGGCGAGGTGTTGTGAATTGGGTTCCAATTCGGGGTCCTCCCAGAGCATTCCTGGGAAACTATCTGCACGCGGATGAACTGTGTTGTCCAATAGATCCTTGCCGAAGGAGCTGGCAGAGACCCAACTACTGCACCCTCGAGCCAATCTCCAAGTTTAGCCTGCATGCGTAGGAAGATCGGGATATACAGGGTTTCCAGGCTACGCGTCCAGGGTGCACTACTCTATGCTCACGAGCAGCGTCCGCGCTGAGAGAGCGTGCCGTGTTACATATAAAAAGCGGACAAATGAAACCTCGATCTCACAGACTATTTCCCATGAGATGAGACAGGTGCTCTCGGCCCCCGAAGAGCCGGGCACGGGCAGTACACAGAAATAGCGCCGCTACCTGTAGGTATTAGTGCCCGAGTTGCGTAGACGGCGCTGCGTACCTATGTACTAGTAGGTAGTATGCAGGGCTGAGGTTGGCCCCAGATGCAAGTCGAATTCAGGCCTGAACAACAATGGCCGTTTTCGTTGGTCGACGCTCGTGTGGAATGAAACCCTCCATGCAAGAGTGTGGTCATCTCGCTTCCCAGCTCTTCATCCCATCACATTTGAGCTGGCCGGCCTTGCCGCAGCTACTGCATGTCTGCACGTCTGCATAGCGGCAAGACAGTCTAGGCGCTTTGCTAGGGCTTTTCCGGCCTGCAAGTGGCGGGACAGGGTCACGCCAGGAAGGATGGCTCGTACACAAGCATGAGTGGCGTTCAACTTGACGACTTGCAAAGTTTCTTGCCCCTCCCAGGTTCTTTGGGGAGCCCCTCATTGCAACGCGTAGGGTGCGTCTTCCGAAAGCGCCAATCAAGGAGCGGCGTCGTTTCAGTGCTGGCAGAGGACCCCCAAGATCCCGGGATTCCCTCTTGGATGGCAGCTAAGGTGGGGTGGAGGTCAGCAAGCGGGCCGGAGCATCGCAAGGGTCTACCGTAAAGAGCATGAAAAAAGAAAAAGCAGCAAAAGAAAGCCCGCTCAGGAGGAGACAAGAAGGAGGGGAGCAGCGCGCGCAGGCAGGTTCCAGGTAGATCTCTCCTGCAGCAATGCGGCAAGTGTGCGCAGGACAAGGGCACCTATCTCAGCTTAGTACCTGCCTGTAGTGCTGCGCCGGGAGATGTGCGAGATGGTACAGCAAAATACCACCTCGAAGCGATGCTTTACACCCACCCAGCTGTCTGAGGCTACGTGGGAGGCAGGTGCCATCCTGCTGTCCCCTTACAGGTAGTCAGTGTAGGTAGAGTTCAACCTGAAAGATGAGTCGGCAGTTGGGTGCATGGTATTTCGGTACCTCCGTGAGTGAAGGGATCATATAATCCCCTCCCAGGCCTAGAATTTCGCGGACTGGGCTGGACTGGACTGGATTCTATCTGCACCAACAAGCGCGACTGGGAATCCCCGTGCATCCTGCAAGTGCTGCTTCCAAGATCGGTACTAGTTCCTCTACAGCCAACACGGGTCCTGCACTTGCGCTGGCTGCGGCTCGTGACTGATCCCCCCAGGCGCAGTCGGTGTATGAGGCGCCTCTTCTTTTCTCGCGGGCCAGTTCACAGCCTCTGACGTTTCTTTTTCTCCTCGCCCCGTTCGACCGACCGGCCCTTTCTCTTTTCTCACCTCCCGCAATCCTTTGCTCTCCACCACGGCCAAGGTTTAGATGAGACGGCCAGTTATCTCTCCGTGGCCTACGACATACTTAGGGTTCCCCTTCATCTTAGCTCATTTGGCTTAGCGACTGCCGCAAGCCCCCAGTGTGGATGCCATCACATCGCACTAGGTAGGCTTTTGAACCCTTGCTTCTGAAATCCCTTCCTCCCAACCTACAACCCAGCATTCTGTGGCCGCCGGTCTAGCTAGCCGAACTAACCCGTCTCTTCTTGCTAATAGGTCTTTTACCCTGTCTGGTGATCCATATTTTTGCGGGAGACAGCGTCACCACTCAGAAACGACGACAACGGCTTCACCCACTTAGCGGACCCACCACCACAACATCTAGCTCTCCCCGTACTCTCTTCAAAGAGCTATTAGACCTCGTCCTCGAACTTTTTTTTCCCGCCTCCATTCTCCTCTTTGACTTTCTCTCACTGACCTCGACTTGCCAATTCTTGCACCAGGCTTGATCTTGCTGCCAACGTCATCTTGCTGGCATCATCGTCCTGCCTTTTCCAGCCTGCGCAGTTCTAGCTCTCGTTCTAGACCCCGATTTTCGAATCGTCCTGTCGTTCTCTGAACTCTGAAGCTTTCTTTCTTTTTTGGTCTTAGCAGCCTACTTGGAGCTGGCCCCTAACCCCCCCGGGCTGCAATCGAAAGCTGCACAGGACGTATATCACAGCAAAGATGGCACCGGGCACTCACAGCACGTTGAAGGGCACCTTTGCCCAACGGTCCACGACAGTAACACACCCGTTGACCGCCTATCTGTTCAGGTTGATGGATCTAAAGGCCTCCAATCTTTGTTTGAGCGCAGATGTAGCAACTGCACGCGAACTTCTCTCAATTGCTAACAGGGTGGGACCGTTCATTGTGGTTCTAAAAACGCACCACGATATGGTGTCAGGATGGGACTATGATCCGGAATTTGGTACTGGGAAAAAGCTCTCCGCCCTAGCCCGAAAGCACGGTTTTCTTATTTTCGAGGACCGTAAATTTGGTGATATCGGGAACACGGTAGAGCTTCAATATACCAGCGGCTCGGCCAAGATTATCGAGTGGGCTCATATCGTCAATGTCAACATGGTTCCTGGGAAGGCATCAGTCACATCACTCGCCAATGCTGCCAAGAAATGGGAGGAAAGATCCCATTATTCCGTGAAGACTTCGGTGTCTGTGGGAGGAAGGAGCCGAGGCAGCAACGAGGATGACGAGGACGACGAAGAGAGCGACGATGAAGCTGACGTGGCAACAACCAGTGAGGGGCGGAAAGGCAGCATTGTTTCTGTCACTACAGTTACCCACCAATATGAGCCCGCCGTCTCCCCACGGTTAGACAAGACTATCTTGGAGGAAGACTCAGGAGAGTCAATCTCTAGCTTCGATGAGCCACCGTCGGACCGAGGCCTTTTGATTCTCGCCCAAATGTCAAGTGAAGGCAACTTTATGGATGAAAGGTATACAAACGCCTGCGTGGAGGCAGCAAGGGAGCATAAGGATTTCGTCATGGGTTTTGTTTCGCAGCAAAGCCTCAACACCCTGCCCGAGGATGATTTTATCCACATGACCCCAGGATGCCAACTTCCATCTGAGGAGGAAGAGGAGGGCACCGAAGTTAAGGGAGATGGAAAGGGACAGCAATACAACACCCCTCAGAAACTTGTTGGGATTGCCGGGACTGATATCGTCATTGTTGGACGTGGAATTCTCAAAGCTGGCGATCCTCAAGAGGAGGCCGAGAGGTATCGCTCTGCAGCTTGGAAGGCATACACCGAGCGAGTTCGATGAAGAGGAAATGAAAAAAATTCAGTCACGGCCCATTCTTCTACCTGTGCCGCGAGAAGTGAGAACAACAGCCCAGAAATCAAATGAAAGTTAAATACGATATTCCCCTTCAGTTAGTTCAGTCTTGTTTTACTTCTTCAGATTATGGCGCTATAAGCCCTTTTTGGTCATGTATTGGGATGGCAGGTGTTCGATCCAGGTTGGAAATAATATATAAGGATCAAAGTTTCTTGATCACGGTATGGAGTTATGTACATGATACCTCGTTCGATTTACAGGGGAATATATAAAGCGTGTGTACAACTCTGGTCAAGTTCCACAGCCAGCTTCAAGCAGTACCGTGATAGACCTTGCTCAGGCCAGACTGCGGTTAACACACCCTTCAATACCTTTGGCTCAGCAATTGAACGCGCGGGGCGCATCAACAAAACAGTCATCGGAGGCCTGAAATTTCAAGACGCCTTTTGCAATGGAGGAAATGGGGCGATTTCTGCATAAGTTATTTGCTAGCTGGTCACACTCGGGTATACGCGCATAGTGGCAAACGCATGCCGATTGATTTTCACAGCCCCTCCTTGGGCCAATTCAAACACGGCACGTCAGCTTTTGATTGCTTGCCATTGGGGGCAGGAGAGCGGCTGATGAGTGATGCATAGCCCGGCCTGAGCAGCTCAGCTTTGTCTAGGTAGGTACATTTGATGAAAGGCGTACTCCCCAATCACTTGAGACAAAAAGCTCAGGCTGGGCCAATGGGAGCCAATTGGACCAGCGGAACCGCCCATCTCTGGCGCGGAGGCGCTTTGTGAAACGAGCCGGCCTCTGAGAGATGGGTAGGTACTTTGTAGGTAATTGAGATGCGTAGTTCAGGGGGCCATCACATCCAAGAACATGTACATGGCAGCTACATGATCAATATCAATCACAGTGCAATCGGGGGAACCAGCTTGCAGGCCGTGTGCGTCGCCGTGTGAATCCGGAGTAGCACCAACGCAGCTAGTCAAGCCACTGTCAGGCGACAGATGGAATGGGCATCCACAGCAGCAATGCCGTATACATGTACATGGCATATACCATCCTGCCTAAGGTAGGTATGCGCACGAGAATAGCTTGGCCTGGTCATAGATTGCCAATCATGACAGTTTGCACTGCAGTCCGGGAGCTCTGCTGCTGGTATCTCACAACCCCAGGCCAGTACCTTATTTACGTACATGTACGTCTCCCATCCCACAACACTGTGCCTGAAAACAGGTTGCATCGGAACAAGGACGCCAGTCAATGAGGCGTTCGCCCTAGCGGCGCGCAGTGGCACACCAAATCTCCACATTGTCGCGAACGGGAAGCAGTGTATTGACAATTCTGCTGCCTGCGCGTCTGGAGGCTGGCCGCCGGAGAGGTCATCAGGTCAGCTCCCTGCTCGATTGACATTGTCAATTTAATTATAGGTGCCTCAGCTCATGGGCCCCACCGCACTTGCATTCAGCGGCTCGCCAGCGCCTGCATGTACTTTTCCCAGGACGGAGGTACATAACGTCTTTTGCTGGCTGAAGACGTCCCTAAGTTAGCTACCATTAAAATAAAGAACACTAAATTAAGGGAAAATCACAACAGCACCGGTACACAGTTAGCAGGTGGTCCCGGGCAAGGTTTCAAGGTTCCTTGGCCGGTATTCGATAAGCTCTGCCATCCAATAAAATTGTGGAGACGAGATCTTGAATTAACATACACTTTTGCGCTTTGAATAACCACATTCTAACAACCAGGATTTTTTTTCTTCTCTCTGCTCTTCACTTTCTCCCATTCTCTTTGTTAAATGTAATAACTGCCTGGAAGCACCCAGAAGCCTTTTTATAAACCGTTCCGTACCACTTCTTCGCCCGCAGACATCTGCTGTTTTTCACCCGATTGCAGAGGGCCGCAGCTGATCCGCCTTTTTTGCTCTCAAATCCACGTCCGATTTGCTGCATTCACCATTGAATTGTGGTTGCGTTTTGCCCTGACCACCGACCCTTCACAGTCGACCACCTAAATCGCTTTTTTTCTTTCCTCGCATCTGAGCCTACGTTCAGTCTGCTAAATATTCTCTCTTTCCAAAAGTTAATTCTGTTTGGCGGGTTACAGGAAACTTTGGAGATAAGGACAGACGGGCAAAGGGAAAAAAAAAAAGACTTTTTTTTACCGGCCGTCCTCCATTATCGAAAAAAATGGCACCAGAAACGGAGTCCACAGAATTTATCCAACGGTTTCACGACATTCAGTTCAACCAGGATGCCTCAACCAAATTAATCAAAGTAAGGGCTATCTTAGAACGCCCATGGTCGTTATCATTATTATTTTTGCAAAAACGTCTCGGAAAGCTCACTTTCTCAAGGATCTGATCGCATATTGCAAGCACGTTGAAACACTCACGAGCGAGAACCTGCGCCTCTCCAAGGAGAATGACGGTCTGAAGATCGACCTTGCCGGTGCTGCGGATTCGAGAAGACAGCTTCAGCAGAGAGCGCAGGTTTATGAAAATGAATATTTTAGACTTAGACAGGGTCATGTGGGTTTTCCTCCCTGCTGGTGCTTTATGGAACAAGTTTCCTTTACACGCATTACTTACTGACTTGGCCCATCCGCAGGTTTCCAACCCTTATATTGCAATTCTCATTGATGGGGACGGCCTTGTTGTACGTCAATTGGCTTCCCCCACGCGTCCTGGGGCTCATTTGCTAGGGTTGGCGGTCAGCTAACATAACCTTCCCGCAGTTTCAAGACAAGTTCGTGAAAGGAGGTGTCGAAGGAGGCAAGAAGGCTGCGCAGGCTCTACGAGATGCCGTTGCTGAGCAGTGCAATGAGATGGAAATCTCGGCCAAGGTCGTGACCAGTATTAGGACCCTGTCCAAAGCCCTAATTCAAGATGGAGTCATCGAGCACTGGGCAGAGCTGAAGGATTTCACCCTAGGCTTCACACAGTCGCAACCCTCGTTTGAATTTATCGACGTGGGCTGCGATCGTGAGAGCGCAGAGACGAAGATCAAGGGTAAGCTATCTCGGCTCGTTCAACACTCAGCCTTGTCCTTAGGTTCAAATCACTGACCCATGACCGGCAGAAACTACGAAATGGCATCTACAAAATCTCAATTGCCAGCAAGTCCTCCTCGGTATATCCCACGAGGCCTCATATGCTCCGTTCCTCAGCGACATTCTCCAAAACGAGCTTAGTCGCCAACGCGTCACCGTGCTGGAAGGTGTTCCTACTGTCAAAGAACTGGTTGCTACCCGGGTCAACGTCTTCCGCATGAAGCATGATATCTTCCGCAGTGACAGGCTGCCTGACATCAACGCAGCTTCCCCTGTCGAATCTTCTCCTGACCTGTCCACGGCGGTGCCTCCTGCGCTTACACCTCCTGCGTCGGCTTCCACAGCTTCACCGTTCTCCTCATATGCGGATATTGCTCAAAAAGTGAAACCAGCCAGCCCACCACCGCAAATCACGTTGCCATTGGCGCCGCGATCCGCAAGTGTCAATCCTCGCTCGAAACAGGCGTCGCAGCGGCCGCAAACTCCGCAGCCAAAGTGGAAACCGGGACCCCGTGGCTACGACGAGCCAATCGACGTCAATCCCGTTGTTCTGGAGACCGTGAAGAAGCGAAAAGACAGCAGCAAGCTCTGCAATAACCACTTCCTCCGCGGCCCCTGCACGAAGGGGGATGGCTGCACCTTTGTTCACAAGTACAAGCCAACCCCTGATGAGATTGACGCAATTGCCTTCCTGACTCGCCTCAACCCTTGTACCATGCTTCAGGGTTGCGAAGCCGAAGAGTGCATTTACGGACATCATGTGAGTTCCATCAAGTTCGCTCCTCCTGTCGCCTTGCCAACGGTGGATGTAAGAGTCTTCAATCACTGACAGTACCTTCTCTCTAGTGTCCAAGCGTTAAGGACAACACATGCACGCATCCGTTTTGCAAATTCCCGATTTCTTCTCATCCTCCCGGTACCAAATTTAAGAACGTACACATTGACAAGAATTAGAGATTGGGGGAAGGCAAAGGCACCTGCTGGACTCATATACAGCACAAACCACTACTACACAAGGGGAGAGAGCATGGGGTCTGGTAGAAATAATAAGGAACTGTACGATTATAAAGTTGGCTGTGAGGTATTCTGGGAAGTACCACCGAGTCAGAACTGGGGAGACGGATATCAAGATTGGGTCAAATTGCTCTGCGAGAAACACACTAGGGAATGGACGAGTGCATTTTCACGGGACACGGCGAGCTGGTATGCCGTTGTCCTTTTCTTTGCTTCTATGGGATGGATAGCCGGTTTCGGATCATTGGTTGGGAGCTCGATCCTGGGAGATCTTGCTATTTGGTTGCCCTTCATTTGACTTTGCGTGAACGGCTGTTCATGGTTCCATATTATGGTGGTAATACGTATACTGCTCGCGCACTTAGCTACTACAACTAGCTTCCTTTGTGTTTGCTTTTATTCGAAACGGGATGCTAGTAAATGGCGGATCTAATTCCAACCTTGTTGTAAGATGCTGTAGATTGTGCAGTCAGGAAGCATAACAAGGTTGGTTGGGCTCTCCCCCACACAGAACTTAGCTTCGACCCCACCACAACATTTCCTACCCTAGAAATATCCAATTCCCCACCATCGAACACCGACACCTTTTCTTTACACACCCTCCACCACTTCCACCTCAGCCAACCCAACCAGCGCCCGCCATGTCGCACCCACGCGTGGAAGAAGTCTCCGACAGCGACCTGTCCTCGGACCCCGAGGAGGTCGACCTCGATGACTTCGACGACGCCGACATCATGCGCCGCGTAGAGCCCGCCGCCAAACAACCCTCGCCCGCTGCCCCTCGAGCCCCCCCCGTCCAGGCCCAGCAGCAACAGGCAGCTCCCACCTCCTCCATTCACGTCAGCGACCGCGCCGCCTATGCCAGCTACCAGTGCCTCTACCCCATCTACTTCGACGCCTCGCGCTCCCGCTCCGAGGGCCGCCGCGTCCCCGCCTCCCTCGCCGTCGCCAACCCCCTCGCCCGCGAGATCGCCAACGCCTGCTCCCGCCTCCGCCTGCCCACCCTCCTCGAGCCCGACAAGATCCACCCCCAGGACTGGGCCAACCCGGGCCGCATCAAGGTCGGGCTCAAGGCCGCGGGCAGCCAGGCCAACCAGCCCCTGCACAACAAGCACCACCTCTTCATCCTCGTCGCCCGCCACCTGCGCGACAACCCCACCGTCGACGACAGCCTGGGCCTGCGCGTCCGCGTCGGCGGCAAGCTCGAGCCCGAGCTGGGCAAGCCGTACCCCCGACCGGCCGTGCCACGGGGCTGGAAGCTCGGCGAGCTGCTGCCCTACACCAGCGCCGCCATGACGGGTGGAGGTGTGTCGGAGAATCTATTCAAGGACATGATGAAGGAGATGCAGAGCGGCGGCGATCCCATGTCTGCCTTGATGGGCGGTATGGGCGGCGCCGGCGGTGGTGGTGGTAGCGGGGCCGGCAGCGGGGCGGAGGAGAGCAGCGGCAGCGGGAAGAAGAAGAAGGACAAGAAGAAGGGCAGGGCTTGAACGGAAGCTAGGACCTCTTGTTTTTTTTTCTAGGCGGAAATGGGGAAGGGGTGATGACGATATCATCATCAGCCTTTGAACAACAAGCCAGGCTCTTGGTGTGGGATGGGATGATTCCCCAAGAACCAGACCTGAGGCCGCCCATTGGGGAGCCATGGGCCGTCCTAGTGAGCTTCATCCATCAGCCGATATGCGGATCATCTGTATCTTTCACGGAATCTGCAAGATGAGAGAGATATTCGGTTTTTGATAGAAGAAAGAAACCTACTCGCTTGATATTGCCTAGTCTAGGTAGAAAATAAAACATATACTGGACAGAGGTCAACAGCAGAAATGAATCATGAGAAACAAACAAAAAATGTGGATGTAGAGAATTAAATACAAATCGCAAGTAGGAGGTGTAAAGTCTAAGTAAGGGGGGTATATACTATCCCTTTCCTCGCTCCCAATGTGTAATGAGGTCTTCCTTCTTCTTCGTAATCATCATACAACTGTGACTCGACTCTGTAAAGCCTCCCACTCTCGTGATCCTACAATGTGCACACCACCCCGAGCGCCGTTCGTCATCTTCTTGCCGTCTGAATCTGGCAGCCTGATCTGCAGGAGCGCCGCGGGCTTGCGCTGGGCGGAATCGGCCTTCCTCTCGCTCCCGGACTTGAGCATCCCCGCCTTCCTCACCACGGCATCTTGCCAGCTCTTCCAGGCCTCGTAGTCTTCCAATTGCTTGGCTGCGTGGTACTGGGGCGTCGATCTCGCCGGCCTCCATGCCATCTTGTCCTTGGGCAGGGACTTGAAGTCGAACAGCGTGGCGGTAGAGGTCATCTTGACCAGCTCGCCGAGGACATCCTTGCCCTCCGAGGCGACCAGGGCCTTGCGCTGGTCCGCCACCCGGGCCGGCTTCACCAGAGGCTCTGCCAACCAGTCGAGCTTGGGCTGCTCCGTCATGCGGGCGCGGCGGCTATCCTCACGCAGGTACCTGATAGCAGATTGCAGGCTCTCGATGTTCTTCTTGAGGGTGTCCACCTCCTTGGCATTGGCGTGAGCACGCTCCTGGCCAGCCTTGGCCCCTGCCGCGTCGGCGCCGTCTGCAAAGGCCTGGCTGTCGCTGGCAATCTTCTTCCACTTGTCGCGCTCGGCCTCCAGGCTTCTGAGCTCCCTGTCTTGCTTCTCAATGTCCTCCTTGAGGCTTGAGACTTGCTCTCCCGAGGCCTCGAGCTCGACCTGCAGGTTGCTGATGCGGTCAATGTTGGCTTGGGCATCACGCATTCTAGCTTCAAGCGTCTCAATCTTGACGCTTGCCGTGCTGAGATGCTCGTCACGTAGGGCGATGGCGCGTCGGGCCTCCTGGTGCTCCTCCTTAACTTTCCTGAGCTCCTCTTCGGCATCGACGGGCACCGTCCTGAGGTTCTTGAGCTCCTCGGATCGCAAACGCCAAGGAGCAGGGCTGACATCGAACTCTTGTGCCTGGTCGAGATCGGTCGCGACGGCTGCCAAGTCCGAGATTTGGCCGCTGGCAATGCGAAGCTTGTTGAGGTACTCTGAGAAGGTATCGGACTCGTTCGCCGACACTGCCGCCAGGACTGTCTTCTGGATGGCTTCTTGGATCTCGATGTAGGTAAATGGTTCCGACCGCGACTCGTCCTTGGTGAGGAGGCCGTGGACACCAACACCAATCTGGCGAGCGAGGCCTGCAAGTTCCTCAGTCATCGACTCACATTGCTCAAACGCCTCTCTGGTCTCTGGCAGCAGCGAAAGTGATCGATCCTTGAGTTCCTCAAGAGCTCTCACAATCTTGCCAGCGATGACCTTGGTGCCTCTGGTCTGTGTGATCACCAGGTCTGTCCTCTTAGCAAAGTGCTGGGCCAGCTCGTTCTCCTCTCCTTCTGAAGGCACAGCCCTCTGCGCCATGTCCCTCACGGTAGTGAATACCACGGCGGCGGATTCGAGGTGGCTCTGGATGACAAGAGACTTGGTATGTAATTCGTCCGCAAAGCTCGGCAGCTCGTCGACGATATGGACCTCAGCCAGGTGCGTCATGAGAGCCATGGTGCGGTGAAGCTCATCGGCACACTTCTGCACCTTGAGCTCATCGCGACGAAGGCCATCGATCCATGAGTTGAGAGCCCGCTCTACTGGCTCCAGCTCATGAAGAGCGTTCTGGTACCTGGTGAACTGCTCAATGGAGCAATGGCTGATATTGTTGACAAAGCGATCGCACGTAGAAGAGACCCAGACCAGCTTATCAAGAGCATCGCAGCCAGCAATGGTGTCGTCTTCATGGCCGGGATCGGGCTTGCCGTTGACACGCTCCTTGATAAAGCCGTTGAGGAGGCTTGCCTTGAAGGCCAACCGCTTGAAACGGAGAAGAGCCAGCACGGAGTCCTTGTCTTCCTTGTAGGTATCCGGCAAGAAGAGCTTGACGATTTCAAGGTGCTGCTCTGCCTCCTGTGCCTCGAGTCGTCGCAACTCCAGGTCAATAGTCTTGGCCTGCGCCTTGGCAGCAGATATCTGGAGCTTCATGTTGAGATCCATCATGGCGCGAGAGCGGTCATTGAGCTTCTCGGATTCGCCCTCTGTAACCGCCTGGGATGCGCGCATATCTGCCAGGTCGGTTTGCAAGTTTGTAACGAGCTCGCGGAATCGAGACAAAGTGTATTCAAGATCGCCAAGATTCTGGTCTTGCTCAGCAGACCGACGGGCTTGCTCTGCAATAATGGCGTCTCGGAAATCAACTTCCTCCTGAAGCTCCTTCTCATTCTGAACATGGTTCGCTTCGAGCTCGTCGCTAATCTCCTTGAGGCTTTCAAGGTCGTCCACCACTGCCTGAAGCTCCTTGACTTGCTCCGAAAGACTCATGTTTCGCTCACTGAGGTCCTCGATGATATCCTCGGCCCCAAGGGCATTGTCAAGCTGTTGGCGAAGGTCCTCAACAACCGCCTCGCTGTTAGTCAATTTCTCGGCGGTTGCCTCGTGGATCTCCTTAATCGACGTCAGTTCCCTCAGCTCATCCTCAAGCCCGGCAATCTGCTGCTTGAGCTGTTCCTCTGACTCCTGCGTAATGTCTCTGAGCCTGAGAAGAGCCTCGCGCAATCGATCGTTGGTTCGTTCCATCTGAAGCCATCCAGCACCGGCACGTTCCTCGGGGCTCATTCCGTTCTGGAATTCTTCGTTCTCCTCGCGGAGTACCTCGACTTCGAGCTCTAATTCTTCCGTCTTCAGCTTGAGAGCCTCTAAGTCGCCCTTGAGCACCTCAGCAATTTCCTCTGCCATTTCCCGGTCGAGAGCAGCAAGCTCGAGCTGAGACTCGTGCTCGGCCTGCATCTCCTCCACGGACTCGAATTTTGCCTCTGCCTCCTTCATCATTTTCCGTAGCTCATTGTTCTCCTCTTGCAAAGGCTGGTACTTTTGCTGCAGCTTCTGCACCACACTCTCATACTTGTCTCTCTCGCCCTGAATCTGCTCGAGCTGCTTTAACTTGTCCCGGTCTTCGATCCGTTTCCTTTCCAGCACCTTGATCTTCGATTTCAGATCCTCTATTTCTCTGTTTGCCGCTGCGACGCTCCCGGTGGCGCGCGGGGCGCCCACCGTTGAGCTCACTCTCCTTGCTCCTGACGCCGCCGATGGACCTGCCGTGGCAGCAGTAAGCCGCTCGACGGCGTTGGATCTGGCAGCCACGGGGCTCCTTGGCTGGGGCGAAAGAATCTCCGTCTTAAGGGGGGACATGGCCCCCGTCTCATCTTCCCGCCCGCTGTCTCTCCCAGCCTGCGAGTCGCCAGAGGGTCTCCTGTTCTGCTCCGTCCTCGACGTCGTGCGTTGCCCCGCGAGAGACGTGCGTCCGCTGGCGGTTCTGGTCAGGCCGGTGGTTGTTGTGCGGGCGGGGGCTCCAGAAGATACTGCGCGGGCAGTGCGAGACGCCGGTACAGCGGGGGGTCCCATAGACGTCCTCGTTGCTCCCACGGACGGGCGAGATCTCGATGCAGCCGAGGTCGTGCGGGCATTCGATGGGGTGCCGGTGCGAGATGTGGATGCGCTCGGCGGGCCGCTGAGCTGCTTCGTCGGGGATTTCGTAGGAGACTGGGAAAGAAATCACGTTAGCATCGTAGGGTCGCACAAACACTAGGACAAACTGCATCAATGTGCAAGAATCACACGCAATGCTTCCTCCATCGAACAACTCACCCTGACCATGCTCGACGGCCGGGACGTCTTAGGCACCGGGCTCGGACTCGGGGCATTCAGGCTCCTCCTTCTAGTCAAGCCAGCATCACCACTAGTGGAAATCCTCCCCGCGGCCGGGTTGAAGCTGCTGGGCCGACCACCAGGCTTCCGAGCTGCAGGCTTCGCGGCGGCGGCGGGCTGGGGCTCGATGATGGTGGCCATCATGGGCTTCACGAACATGCCGTAGCCCATGGGGCAGTCGAAGTACCGCTGGCCCTGGACGCTGCCGTCGTTCTTCCCCGTCTTCTCCTCGAGCTGAACACCGATCCATTCTCCGACCTGGAAGCTGGTCTGGCCCACAAAACGGACAGTGGCTCTGCGGTCATCCTGGAGCTTGACCTTCTGCCCTATCTTGAAATCTGGCATTATAACGGTAGGTGGTCGGCGTCGGGCCGAGGGAGCATCGTGACGTCGTGCTCGTGGGTGTCAGGGTCAATCGTTGTGTGTGGTGTGGTGGTGGATGGGGCCAAAGACGGAGACTGGAGGCGATGAAGGTGCACGGTTGCACTATATAGGAGGATCTGCGTTAATGATAGACTGGCCCCGTGCGTGCGGACGGGTGTGCGTGCGTGGGCAGAGCTGCAAGATGCTGGATGCGTATATACATGGACATTAAGATATATAGTAGGGAGTGTTATTTTATGCTGCTGTTGGTATGCGCCATTGACGTTGTGGTCATTCGCTGGCAACGCGTCCGGGAGCGCGACAATAATGCAGCCGAGAAAGCAACAGGGGTCTGTCCATCCACCAAAGCTGCAACTGCCCCTTTTCCCCTCTCACGCTTCTGCAGTCAGACATTGGTACGATCAGCAAAAGGTATGGTACTTGACTTGAATACTCTCTCCCTCCAAGAGAAATAAAGTCAAGAGCGCCAGAATGGGCACCAGAGAGTTCTGCAGCAAAGGCTTGGCCATGAATGCAGAGTATCTTGTCTCATATATCATCTTTACAATAATGCTAGCAGCTACTTACCTATAGCTCCCTTAGCCGATAGTAGATGCTAGCTTCCATACTGGCTAGCACATAGCATAACCTACTATCTACCAGGTGCTGGGTAATCAAGATGAACCTAATTACTACACGTTAGCTGGCAGTTCAGTAAGGCCATTACGTAGTCGAGAATAGCACGTAGTCTATTGGTGGGTGTTTACATCGCAGTTCAAAATCGAACAACAAACCCACTGGTCTCTTCTGCCAATGCTTCCTCATGACTGGCTTCATTTCAATCCAACCTATATGCTATGTGCATTAATTACATGGAACCAGCTATTGAGTTCACATTTGCCCTCATCAAAAGATTCAAACAGCATCCCGAGCTTAATAACCAGACGCCAAGCTCCATATGTGATCACCACTTATCCTACGTATAGGTAAAGTTCTGTGAGTTTTTTATGATAATAACCAGGTAGGGAAAAGACAAGAGAGGAAAAGAAAGAAAGAAAAAGGAAATAGAGAGCAGAAACCCAAAAGGAAATCCAAGGTTAGGTACCTTGGTATCCATTGCTATTCTCCCCCCTTCCAAGACAAGAGAGGCGGCCAGTGCGCCAAACATCTTTTCATCTAATTCGAGGTTTGCTGTCTCGAATCCATCCCGATCTCATCCACTCAATAACCTCAAAAGCCAACCGCCGCTCGTCCCCTTCGCCAAGGCGCCTATCCTTCGAGATGGTCACTACTATCACACCCAATTGCTTGAGGTAATCGATGTTTCTCGAATCCCCCGCATCGCTCTCCGAGCTGGATCTGATGTAGATGACCAGATCCGGGCCCGGGACGCCACGCCAGAGCGTCGCCATCCATTGCCAATGATCGCGAGCATTGTAATTGGATAGCGACTGACTCGTCGAGCAGGCGAACCTCTCAGATGTGGTGAGACTGAACCCCCCTCTTACAAGGGCCACGGGAGTGGCCGATGATATTTTCAACGGTGCCGGTGGCCCCGAGTTTCCGTCACTACTCTCCTGGTCCTTCTTATGACTCTTCTCCTCCTCCACCTCCTCCACCTTCTGGTCTGGATGACTACTGCTCTGGATATGTTTGACCATCTCCTTGGAGTTTTCATGCCACTTGAGAATCGCCCCAAAGATGGAGGGCAACAGATCCTGGAGCTCGACTGGCGATTTTGCGTCTTCACCTCTCTCGCCCTCTCTTGGGATGGGCGGGACGTCACTCGGCACCTCATTCACCCACGTCTTCAGGGCAATTTCCTCTGGGGAAACCAGGAGCGCCTCCTCGACAATCTTCCCGACATAGCTCAAAAGGTCATCTTCCAGGCCCTCAACAACAATGATCGGTCCACGCGAGTCGGGACCTGGAGTCCCGCCCTCCTGGCGTGGGAGCCTCGGGCAGATCTTCCCAAGCACCGCCAGCTTCTTGTCGTACGGAATAGACAATATATGTTCTACAGTATTCTTCCCTGGCGAATCTCTAGAACTAGCACTAGGCAGATACCCGCCGGCTGTTACCGGCGTGGGGCCATATCTCATGTCGTAGTCCCTTGCCGGGGAGATCGAGGGCGGGATGGCAGTCTGCAGCGGAGGCAGCCGCAAAGATTCGTCGGCAATGCTATCTCGTGCCCCGTGGTAATGCGGCATCGCGGCCCAAGCACTACCGATCGGGGGGCGGGGAGGCGGTGGCATCGGTCCGCCGTGGTGTCTCCCATACGCACCTCCATAGTGCGGATAGGGGCTATTGACATGATGTCGGTTGGGGTTATAGGGTTCCCCTACGGCCGAATGGGCACAATGCCCATGCGGCATCGGGCCGTATGCGCTCCCCTCGGGAGATGGCATAACCCGGGAGGCTGTCGAAACCCCCAGGCGAGGTCGCTTTGTCTCGGGCGACCCCAAATGGTGGTCTCCGAGGCGCTTCAAGGACATGGAAGCAGAGCCACCCGATAGCGAACCGCCGGATCTGGGGTGCTGGGAATCGTCCGAGCTGGGGCTGGGCTGCTGAGTTGCGTGGGAAGACAGATCAGCCCTGTCCCTGCCTGGCGTGCCTGGCAAGGCCGGTGTTTGCGGTGTCCGGCTCGGGAACCGACCGTTGCACCTCGAACATCGTCCGCTCTCGTCTTCCCCGACACTGTTCACTGCCTTGCTGCCCCGGCGTCGTGGCTGGTACTTGTATCCAGGATACTGCAGCCGGTGTCGTCTGTTTTCTTCCTGCGCCAGAGATCTCCATTTTGCCTTTTCCTCCTCTGGCTCGTTCGCCCAGCGGTCGCCCAGGATCCTTGAGATCTGGGGGTTGGAGAGCCCTCTACTCTCTGCAGAAATCTGGGCTTGCATCTGTGCACGGTAAAGCATGAAAGCTACAAGGGAAGAGCAGCCAGTTAGCGCTTGGCCAAGAGCACGGAGCACTCCAAAAAAGACAAAGCAACGTAACAACAAAGCATAGGCACACAAAACACAGTGCTTCTCAGACCAAATTCAGCATGGCTGGAGATGGGGGACAGTGCTCCCACTTACAGTTGGGCGGCCTGGGAACCTTCTGGGCCGGCGTGCAGACGCAGATGGCATTCTCGGGAGAAGCATCCTCCTCCAGGCCGGCGTCGGTGTTGATCTTGAGGTTTCCCGCCTTTTGCTTCGCATGTGACTCCTCGGACGAGCGTTGGGCCCGGCCAACGCTCTCAACGGCGGCGGCGCTGCTCTGGTGCTCGGGCGTAGTCGGTGCAGTCGAACGGGCGCTACTGCCCTCGTCGTGCCCATCGATGGTAGTATACAACGGCGAGCGGACCATGACGGTCTCCTCCTGAACAGTCGCGGTGGCGACCTGCGACATTGGCGATCATGCAACGATGGGACACTGTTCTCGTAGAGCTTTTTGCTGTATTCGCAAGGCTCGGGGACTAGTTTCCAGGAGCGCTTCCGGCAGGCCACTTGGTGATGGGAGGAACAAAGTAGAGCAGGAAAGACCGGCGTCCGAGGATGGATAAAAGAAGAGCGTTCAGAAACAGACGACGGGTAGATAAGTAGAAAGGAAAGGAAGGGGCGTGTAAAAGATGGGTACGGCTGAGAGGAGCGAGGGGGGGGGGAGGCTTGAGGCTGAAGACAAGGAGGAAGCCGGACGAGGTCAAAGTTCGAGGACAAAAAACGAACACAAAAAGGTGACCCGGCAAAGCATCTGCTCGAGGACGTCTTTGTCGGCACGCGCCGATCTCTTTGAACCGGCCCCAGGCTGGTGGGAACAATAACGAGAGAAAGAAGGCGTCTTACTGGGCTGGCAGGAATCGGTAAGTCGGGTCGGCCTTTGCAAACGAGGAGGACATCTGAGTTGCCACCAAGAAACTCTCTGATTCTATCGGACTGCCGCGTTCGTTCGTTGGCCCACGATTCATTGATTCATTGATCCAACCATTCACATGCAAGCCAAGACCACCCCGACAGGCAGAGCCAAAATAGCTCGACTCTTTGCACCGAAAACAAAGAGGCATCAGAGGGGATCGGCCTCGTCGCTTTCTTTGACTGAGGATGAAAGCGCCGGAACGGTAGGGCGGGTCCTCCTTACATGTCTCGGGAGCCCGTTGGTTGGCTCTGCTGCGCCCAGCCGTTCTTTGTCTGCGTTTGCGGCGGCCGTGCGGCAGCTACGGTGAAGGGGGCCAGGACGAGCGTACGGCGTGGGAAGCCCGGGCATTTCTTTGTTCTGTCTTTGCTTTCTTTGATCTACGCATGGGACACATCCAGGTTCCCATCAGTCCCCCATCCAACAGGTATTACATGCACGCAAAAAAAAAAATGCTGAGAGGCAGATCTCTTCCCCCTTTCCACCCCCTCCCCCCATTGTTGGGTTAGTCTCCCCTCATCAGCCTCGCTCAGAGGGGCGAAAGCGACAATGTGCGTATGTGTGTCTCTGCCTGCCGGAATGCGGAGAGGCGTCGTGACTGGAATGTGAAAAGGGTGTCGACTCAGACAAAGACAATGGCGCCAACCGCAAGCAGGCATCATCGTATCATGACCACCCTCACGCAGCCCAAATCGACGGAAACAAAGCATGCCTTGTCCGATCCCATGTGCACTTTTTTTTTTCAGCCGCTGGCCATCGTGATATGGCAATTTCCGCGGTCATGTGGGAGCCCAGGAGGCCATCCCAGGCCATGAGGTACGGTTTGGTTGAGTCGGGTCTCGGATTTTGACTCGCGTGTCTGCTCGCTCTGAGAATCCACCCGCTTCCATTGTTGGCAAGGCTTACCACCTTTGATTCAAAGACGCGCACGAGGCTGCATCCCTCCTAAAGCCGTCTGGGCCCGCCAGCCTCAACCTAGTGACGAAGCCGTGCCACCATCCCCAACAAAGACCGTCTTTCTCCCACATACAATCACGGTCGGTCCAGAACCAGAACCTGTCTGGAATAGCTCAGCTCGTCTCGTTGTCCGAGACCCGCTTGCTGACTTGTGGGTTAATTGATTGATTGATACATTTCGCTATATTCCGCGTCGTACCTGAATTACCTTTTTGCTTGTTTGAAAGAGAAGAAGAAAAAACTGTAATTTTTAGACAAATCTCCCTACGCCAAATCCCATCTGAATTTCACAGTGATAGACCCCCAGTTACTCCCCAAAGTTACGAGATGTAGCCGCTGCCGGCCTCGCTGCTGAGGAGCGAGGCGCTACGTCGGGCATCAATGAAAAGATCCTCACACTCGGCAACATCCTGAACATCAATTTGCGTGCGGCCATTGGCCTTGGCCAGAATACTATGACGAAAAGGGTTAGCAAAGGCACTTATCTCAGCTGCATGTTTCAGAGGCCAAGCAAGACATACCTAGAAGGTGTCAATAGTTGTAGACAGTATCGTAAGCTGATGCGGACGCCGTGTTCAGCGATCTTGTCGAGGGCAGCGTCGGTGAGCGCTACTCCCTCTGTCGTTGAACGTATGCGCACAATCCTCTTGATCTCATCGGCATCATAGGCGGTTGTCGGGATGATCAAAAGCCGGGCAAGGAAGTCTGTAGGGACTCCATGGGCAGCCACAATATCGTCAGTGCCTCGTATCGTCGTCATGCCTCTGTTCGATGCCAGAACGACAATGGGTGAAATGGGAGATTCCAGTGCGCGGTTGAGGTAGGTGAAACATTCCACATCGAGCATGTGCGCCTAGAACGAGTCAGTCTCTATGTGCCCCAACCTCAGCTATCGTGTACTTGCCTCGTCGATGAAAAGGACGCCAGGAACAAGCTCAGCTACGCCCTGGTCGATGTATTTGCTAACAACCTTGTTGATCTCTCCACGAAGCTTCTCCGTGATCTCAGTCATCTTGGGCTTCATGAGCTGGCCCATCATGCTCATGATATCCTGGCCACCCTGTGGCCTGGCGTTGGCGACGTCAAGATCGTGAAGGGTAACATCTTGGACAATCTCCTTCTTCTTGTGGACTTCGCCCTTGGGGATGGGTACATATTCCTCGGCTTCAAGATCAAATTCGGTGGCATAGGCATCTGAACGTCCAACCCGCTTGCAAGCGCCCGTGTTTGCCTCGATGTAAATGACATCACCCACTGTGACTCTCTCCTTCTGGATTGCTTCGTAGATGCTGGGGTCCAGCCTGAGCTTCTTTTGGCCCTTGGCGCTCTTGAGTCCGATGAGAAGTGTGCTGATGGTCTTGCCGTATCCGCCCAGGGGGTTCTCGGCCTCCTCCGGGGTCAACTCGGTAACTTCGCCCTCGTACACCTCCTTGGTCTCGCGGACCTTGAGGCCAATCGCTCTTCGGAAGTTCTCCATGAGGACCTCGGTCTTCTTCACTTCGGTGGAGTAAATTTCGCTGCCGACGATGGGGCAGAAGGGGATCTTGGTACCCAATTCCTGGCTGATCGCGAGTGCGAGCGCCGTCTTTCCAGTTCCAGGTCCTCCTGCCAGCAGCACGCCACGGCCAGCCATCTTGTGAGCTCGGATCAGATCTACCACGACACCGCATGACTGCGAAAACGCGACCAGTTAGCAGTAGCCCAGCCTCGCACCCTCACGTACACGTACCTCTCGTGCGCCAACCTGGCCAACGAAGCCAGCAGCTTGCTTGTCAGCATAGCCATCTGACTTCAAGCCCAGGCCTTTGATATGGGTGTGGGCAGCTGTGCGATTGTCACGCTTGTTGCCTTTCACTTCGCTGATTTGCACCATCTTTGCGCTCTGCTCGTCGCCTCAAAGCAGCAATATAAAAGTTTTTTTGGACTTGATCGCAATCGTGATTGTTGATGAATTCTATCGCCAGCTGTATTAACCGCTCTTCGGTCGATGATGGAATTTCGGGGTTGGGAGATTCGGCAAGATTTGCAATTGGATGTCGCAGCCCTGGAGCTAGCTTGCTCGTATATTACTTTCTTCCAACGAGACGCTATCTGAGATTAGAGACGCGACTGCTTAGCTCCGGCGTGCCTGTTCTAGTCACGTGACGCCCATGCTGCATTATCTACCCTATGCTTGTTCCCTCGAAACCCTGACCGACAACAACTCTCTTGACGTTGGTTTGTATTGAATTGATAGTTATAGGTATAACTAGGGAGCTATGGCATCTGATCCCTCTTAGATCTGCTCAAAATTCGAGCACAATTACATGCTGTTCCCAAAGTAAGGCGAACACGAGCAGAGGAACTTTGGCATTGGCTTTGGGAAATAAGTTTACGGCTGATTGATAGTCATCCGTTCGTGGCTGACGCTGCATGTCTATATACTACCGGCAGTTCTTGACGCTATTGAGTAGACTTTTCATGTAACCGCTTACGTTAGGCAGGTACTACCAAGGTGCACAGCCGCAGCCACAATGAAACCCTGAGTGTTACACCACCACGCCTTACAACACAACTTCGTCAACGTATCCAAGCAGAACCAAAATCATTCACTATCTATGTATACGCTATCACATAATCTAAATCCCATCATGTATCATTCTAACCGTACCTCATGCACGAGACAAAGAAGGAAAATGTTCAACTCCTCCGTCTATCTCAGTCGATCGAGGATCAGGTCATCGCCATTCCCACCCACACCCACAAGCATGGGCGACATCTCGCCATTGCCGACGATATTCCCTTGCCGCTCAACATCGTCCACCTTGGGCGGTGGAGGCTTGCGCATCAGCACCACGCCGATGGCGCTGCAGAGGATGAGGGCACACCCGCCGAAACTCATCAGGTCCATCTCGTGGTGGAAGATCCACCGGTCAAAGCTGGCCGCAAACAACATATGCGTGTAGACCATGGCATTGGCCCGGTTCGACTTGTCCGCCGCCAGACCCGCGGTCAGCAGATACTGCAACCCGAAACCCAGCACCCCGAGTGACATGAGGAGGGCCCAGCCCTTGAACGCGTGAGGCCAAACCCACCTCAGCGCCGGCTGGTCAATGTTGAGGTAGGGCGCACTCAGCAAGATGACACTGCAGATACCGGTGCAGATGAGCCCGAACATGTTGACGGAGATGATGGGGCTGGCTCGCTTTCCGATAACACGCAGAGTGGTGAAGGCGGTCGCAGCTCCGAGAACCCCCACGAGCGCCATGCCGATGGCCAACAGTCTCTCCCGCGGTGTTGCCTCGTGGTCCAGCCCCGGAAGGCCCGCATTTTCCGCTGCCTCAGCCGTCGTGGGATCTACGCCGTTGGAGGCCGCGAAGAATGTCGTCGGCTGGGCGATTAGGACTACGCCCGCTAAAGCCACCAGGGAGGCGAGCTGCTCAATGCGGGTAAATGGTTCCTTGAGGACGAAATAGCAGATGAAACCTGCGATCCCGGGAGCCAGGAAGGTAATGACAGTCGCGTCTGCCAGGGGTAGGTACATCATCGAATACCACATTCTGAACTCCGGTGTTAGCTTGCCAAGAAACATGGGATGGGTTGAAAGGACTCCGGTCACTCACCCATATATACCGAAGAACCCACCAAACCCGCGGAGAAGGAGCAGCCATTTAAGGCTTTTGTGGCCAAAGGGGCCGTCTGGTGTCTTCATCCACCACATGTAAAGCAGACACAGGATAGAAGTCAACGACTGCCTGATCAATAGCGCTTGTACCGGATGCATTCCTTCGCCGTCCAGCTCAAGCAGCCGAGCGCTCAAGTTCATCAGCGCTCCAAATAACTGAGACGCAGCAACTAGGATAGCACCCTTATTTCGTATCCAAAACTTCTGGAGGGGAGACCCCTCGGAAGACGGTGAGGCCGGGCCATTATTGTGGTGAGTCGAGAGCTGTGAATCTATTGATAGCCGGGAACTTGGTGCAGGACTGGGCGACAAATGTCTAACTGGATAGACATGGGTACTTCCGCCTTTCTTGGGAGAGAGAAGATCTCTGCGGGACTGGCGTTGCGAGTCGTCACCAGTCAATGTTCTACTCGTTGTTGAATCAGGAGAGTGCGGGCTCTCCGCACTGCCGTGAGGCGGGGCCGCAAATTCCTCACTCATTGCGCTGCTCCGAACCTTACGCGGATAGTATCGGAATGGTGGATAGATCGATCAAGCGCAAAAGAGACAGGTGACTACAGCTTGGAATGATACATTAAGAGATGCCAGAAGCTTTGGAGTACACAGGAAGAGGTAAAGATGCTTTAAATGGTGGCGAAGGGAACCGTGGAAGAAAAGGCTTTCGCTTTGCAGACGACAACTGGGGCCGATCGTACCGTCATCCAGGGCCAAGACTAACTACCACCCAACGGGAATCCTTGGATTCCTCCCCAGCACCGATTCCCGACGTGTGGAGTCGCTGCCTTTGTTGGTGGAGGATTTTTACTAGCCAGCTGACCATCGCCAACTATTCGGCGATTTTGCGAGGTGCCTTACTAAGTAGAAAACTGGGGGGAGTTGCGGACGAGGTGAAGCCGTCGCATTTCCTGGGATCTCGGTCCTGGGCATCTATCTGCAGGTTTGCCCAGACCCGATATCGCAGGAACCCTGCTTCTTGTGACTAGGTAGTAAGCCTCGTCGTGGTTGGACAACGGTGTGGCTGCGCTGAGCTACCGGGCGCTAGTCATAGTGTGGTGATTGATTGTATCATTTAGACGTGCTATTCCCAAACGACGTCAGCCAACTACTGGTTGAATGAGCACCAGTAGGTGTAGGTTGTGTGTCTTATGGTGGGCTTACGCTGTCCCTCGGTCAGTTCCTTCTCTCTGAATGTGCCCGCAATGAGTTAGTGAATATTGGGCATTCAGAACCGAAGTCCGAACTCACCAATCCCCAGATGTGGCAGAGCTTCACCAGCCTAGGTCAGCCACCAGCCGCCATCACTACTTAAACCCGACGATGCCGTCCAACATCATGATCAAGTAACCCGGCAAATTTGTGCTTATCATAGTTCTGGGCTTCATCTCGATCGATTAATTAGCATCGCGAAGAGACACATCTTGCAATGGGGGTCGTTGATACACCACAGAGATCCTGCTCGACCCATGGGACTCGAACAGGAGCTGGAAATCTTTTTGATGCAGGGCAGTGGCTGACCACTTCCTTAATCTCGGTCATCAGAACCCCAGTATGTGTGATGGAAGGCTTAAGTTAGATGATTTTTCATTCCTCTATTTCCGTCAGAACGCCCGAATCCTTTTCTCAAGTCAGATGCGCGTGCTGCGTTTCCCTGAAACCCTGAATTCAAACAGACCCATATTGAACGCCGGTGCTGTGTATAGTCATTTCGTATGTCCGGAGCAGAGGAGAGACGGCTGGTCCTGTCGTATGGCGACCTCCTACCTCTCCATTTTCTGGACATGTTGGTGTTTAACCTCGCTTCTTTCCAAGGGCATCCATTTCCGCATCGGCATCATCGTCCGCCTCGCCCAGCTCCTCCTCCTCCTTGGCGGGTTTCGTAGTAGTTGTCTTTTCCCGCTTCTTTTCTTCGTCGGCCGCATCTTTCATGACCTCGTCCTCGCCGTCTCTGAGGAGGTGACGGGCCTTGGTAATCTCTTTCTGCTTCTCGAAGACCTCCTGCACCTTGCCCAAGAATGCCGGGTTCTTGCGGAACGCGAACTCGAAATCTTCATACTTTATCTTCTGCCGGCTAGAGTAATGAGCAGCACGCGAGGCTTCGAAGGCGATGGATTGCATGAAGTCGGTCAAGATCTCGTCCAGGACACGGACTGTCTCTGGGAGTGGGTTTTTGACATCGCCGTGGGCATAGAGCAGCTGGGCAACTGTAGTATATGTTTAGCCACGAGGACTCTGGTCGTCAGAGGTAAGAAAAGAGGAAGGAGGCGACGCACGCTCATTGTGGGAGAAGTTCATCTTGCCGACATTCTTGCCGGCGCGTGCTCGGGGCTCCATTTTGAAGGAGAGTTCTGGGTGAGGCACCGTCGCCTCCTCGATAGAAAGCGGTTATTTGTTTCTTGAAATAAGGGAATGGATGCTGGCGTCCTTGAGATCGATGGTTTGCTTTGGTTGTTGGGCAAACTGCGTTCGCGTTGATGAAAGAAGCAAGCAACTACTTGACTGTGCATGGCATGCGGTCCAGGTTGGGGCCCCACCAACTAAAGGCACATACCCTGGACCAGGTCAGCTCAGCAACTCCGATTAGGCACCTCTCTGGATTGTCGAAGTGATCTGAACTACCCTAAAGCAGCTCAACCACAGCAGATGCCTCTCGGCTCCTCGCTAGGTCTCGCATCCGAGTATCTATGCATCCGAGCGGAAGTCCCGACAAAGCCTAATTTGAATCTAAAATCATAACTTGAGGTGCTTAGCAATCATCAATCAGATTCGGAATCTTCAGCCTTGTTCGTATTCGTCTTCCCCGTCGGCTCAAAACATGCTGAACAACGCTCACCGAGGCGAGAATAATCACCTCGTGATAGCGAGGTCAGATTCATGAGCTTACTAGTTATGTCGTATGCCGCGAAACTTTCGAGAGATTGAACCTCAACTCTCATCACATTCCGAGGTCAAGAGTTTATCGATGCAGTCCCGAGGGTAAAGCACAAGTGATCACATGCACTAGATATATATGCCGGAGGCTCAACTCAAACCCAAGTCCTAGCCGCGCTTGTTCGCTTATAAATATTGGATTTGGGGTACTCTACGCGGCAATACCCTAATTTTGAAGTTTGCCCCGACATTAACGTAAGCATAAACAAACTGAAAAGAAAAGGAAAAAAAAAAATCTAGAACGGGGCCGTGAATATGCGAGCCGTCGCCGCTCCGACGTGGCGTCCACGATCCAGCAAGATTGATTCCAATTTCTTGTGGCTGTTCTTCAGATTCGGCTTTAGCTTTTGACGGGACCAATATCACAGTCGCGAGGCCGAGGCTTATGTCTGCTCCAGGGTCCGCGATGCCTGAGAATCATGCTTTGCACTCCCCCGACTAGTGGTTATGGCGATGCCGGAACTGGTAATCAAGCGATATCAACTGGAATGAAGATGGTATACACCCTCGAGGGCGGCTGGTACTCCGGATTGGAAAGGCAAGTATCTACATTCTTGCACTGTCTCGGTGCAAATCGTCCGTCGATGGCTGGTTTCCGATGGCTGCTGCTGTGGTGTCTGGGATCGTTCAGAAGATATCGGCTTTCCTGAACCATCTAAGATCAGAAGACGGGAGCAGACGGGCCTACCCGTAGAACTATGCCTAATGTCGCCGACTGTCAGGCAGGCATTTTAGACCTCTCCTCTGCCTGGAGCATTCCTTCATCGGAGGCGGACTTGCACCCTGTAAATGCGTGTGTAAACTTAGGATACCAACATATAAACTTAGCATATCAAACGTCGCGCTCGGCTTCTGGAAGACAATAGCGTACGATTGATGATAATAATAAACACACTAATTAGGGAATTTTAGCCGTTACTATACGCAGGTATCAATTGGATGTCTTTGTCGTTTCTTGTACCTTTTGTTCTATAGACATCGAACATGTCATTGTTGGCCCATGTTTGATACGGGATGAGCTATTGGCTATGAATGAGAATCCTTTGCTAGCCCAGTTCCAAGACATTAATCTCGGGAGATATGGCATATTAGAAGACATTGATATGCCTTTTTCTTCACCTAACAACCAACATCTCGATCTAATGCAAGGGAGTGACATACAACATCATTCAATCCCTTGCGACGAACCCCCAAAGAAGCCCCAAGTTTCATGGGCAGCTACAGCTACGTCTAGTGCAGGGGAGAAACTCCAACTCTCCCTTGATAGTCGATAGTAGGCATTGGCATTGGCATTGGCATTGCAATGCGAAGAGTGGTAGAGTCAAAGACTATTGGCTTAGGTCCGCCCCCTGATGTTGGAACTGGCTCCGGCCTCGTCGATGGTATGAGCGGTGGCCTGCCCAGACCCAGTGGATACACCCGGACCGGAGCTTCGTTCTAGAGATCAACCATTCGAGACCAGGCCCAATCCAGTGCCGGCGTGCTTCTAGGGTTAATCCATTCCCAATAACCCGGGTCTTCCTTCACGTCATTTTGGGGAACTATTCTTGAGTCAGGAGCCCCGGAAGGTTGGTCCGGGCTGGGGTTAAGATGAACGAAGGCATGGATTCGACGCATGATACTTGTCCTGGCGTCAGTCACGGGCGCATTGGCTGACGGTACCTGGCAATTTGCACCGACGAGCAGCAGCAACGATCGATCCGCGGGGGTGTAGGTAGGTTTCAAGCCCACGGCGGGCAGCATTTCTAAGCATAGCATTTGAGACTTTCGCGAGGAATTCCAGCTCGCGCAAGCAGAGTTCGCCAAGACATAAAGTCTGACCCCTTCGCCTTTCCGAACCTCAGCCTGCTAGGTGGTGTATCGGTGACAGCGCCCTGCGCCTCGAGGACGGAACCGCACAAGAGGGCTACTGAGTTAGCACTGCAACCTTATGTACTTGCCCCCCTACGACCCCAAGAGCCCCTACCGTGCCACGGTATTAGGTCCCTGGACCGGCATGCAGTGGCTCTAGTAACGAGCCAGGCCAGAGTCCGGCAGGGAAATGTAAGTACCTACAGGCAGTACATGGGGGAACTTGCAAGAAGCCTGCCCACGCTGGGGTGGGGGCTCAAAGGCCTGGCAAGGGGCCCCTTGGAGCCTCAAGGAAGCCTTCCAGAAGGCACTAAATTTGGAGATCGGCATCCCCGGGAAATGCGCCGGAAATTACGCTTAAGCGCGTGTCAAGAGAGGGCGAGAGAATGCACCGTGGCTCACGGTCAGTTTGCCTCCTTGGGCACTTCCGAGCATGACGAGTCATCGCTGATTGACTGGAGATGTGAAAAGCTTATTAGCAGAAAGGCAAAGACTCAGCGTAACGAGCGAGGGCGCGCATGACGACCAGCATCTCCTGCGAAGGGGCGCTGATTCGAGCTGCACCACACCACCACCACCACCACCACCACCTACCTCATTCTCCCGCTTGTCCTCCAATCCATGCCATGCAGAGACGAAATAGCGGACCCAGTCAGCCACCGTGGTGATCATTTGTGCAGCGCATCCCGTCCGTAGCCTCC